GGTTTGGATAAAGGTAAACCTGGATTTCCTTTAATTTGGGATTGCAAGTGAAGGTGATGAAGAGATGGGGCGTGGCATATTGGCTGATGTCCGTCATGGCATCCTGAGTCTTCTCCTGCATGTATCTTGGTGGAGCTGCGAAGGATCAAGACAAAATAACTAATCAGCCAACATTGTGACCGTTTGCCTCTCCTTCGGCCTCTCCTTCGGCAATGATGTTCACACGCAGGCAGTTTTGATTAAGTTGAATGTAAAGAAGGCGCACACTCTCAATGTTGGCATACTCATCGACAACATGCTGGTGAAAGAGGTTGGAGCACAATAATACGTGGTTTCTGCCTCTGTCCATGATCACGAAGGAATATACGTTTATTTTATAGGAGACAGTTTTGTGAGGATGTCTTTGTCCTGCAGCTTTGTAATTGACGTGGTACTCATCTTGGCCTTGCGACAGGAAAATGTGTTATTGTAGGGCATCGTTAGGGTCAGGAAATCGTGCGATGGTGTTTTATTGATATGGAAGAGGAGCTGCTCTTGAGTTTCCAAGCACTTGGATGTAGAATGAGCACCAAGGTTCACTACTTACATAGTCACTTGGCCCAGTTTCCAGAGAACATGGGTCACGTGAGCGAAGAGCAAGGTGAACGCTTTCATCAAGACATTCAAGTTATGGAAGAACGTTACCAAGGCCGATGGGACTCAAACATGATGGCAGATTACTGCTGGTCCTTGATGAGAGCCATTCCACAAGCTGTACATCGGAGATCTTCACAATTCAATTCTTACATGGTAATATGCATTCACACACATTGATATGCAGTCAATCTCACACCTTTGTGCTATGGCTCATTAAATGTGTGTTTCATTATTATTGTATCTTATCTTATTCTTGTATGGATGTCTATTTAGATATTCGTATATGAGCATACATTTGCTGTTTTTATTTTATTTAAAAGGTTGGAATACCTTATTCCAGAAAAAGTGTGTTGACCAGTGTTATCTAAACACAACGGGTAACTCTTAACATTAAGAGGTTAACGACATAGGGTGGTAACCACCGTTCCTAACTTAGCTAACACACGGGGATACAACATTTCTGGACTGGAGACCGAGGATCGTAGATAGTGGCTTCATCCCAGACTTGACAATGCAGAACAACCCAGCTCTCCATCCACACCACTCCGGCGTAGCTGGCTCCGCCCCAGGCTACGCCCCCGGCTACGCCCCCCTTCCCGATCCTTCGGGAAGGCCCGAGCCCTCAACCACGTGACCCCCTGTGGGGCTCCTGGCCCCCCTTTATCCGGTCACGTGTCCTGTTGGGTTCACGCAGAGTGTCACGGCCTGACACGACCTCCGTGACACCCGCCTACAGCCCCCATACCGAGCCACAGTAGTTTCGTTCTACTACACTACACATGCAAACAATTATTGTCCTGGATCGAGACGGTCACGTCATGATCAAGTGGCCCGCCCTCCTTTCTCTTTCTTTGATCGGCTAAGCGCTGCTTTCACGTCAGTTCGCTGTTACTTCAGTTCGCTGTTACTCCAGTCTGCTTTTATTTCAGTCCGCTTTTATCGTATTACAGCGCCGTGTCCAGGTGTGCGTCAATCCCTTGATCGCATCAACGGTGACAATTCCTAGCGCTCATTCCGGTGCAGATGGAATCTGCATTGATTCTCCCCTCATACCGATACCAATACCTGTTCAACCCCTTATTAGTACCTACTTTATTGCAGACCAATTCAGACCTTGTTGGTCACCCCGTGCCCTTATAAATCTCAAAGTTAATCCTACAAAGTCCCATCACAAGGGAGAAACACAACCAAATAAACAATTTTATTTTTGCTCGTATTGAAACGTCTGTATGCCGTATGGACCTGAATACTCAGTTTTCTCTGTATAATATGGGTAAACCTATGGGTTGACAGGTATGCGATAACGCGATGCTCATGCTGATCCATAAATCACAGCAGTGGCCCGGCAATCACTCGACTGTTGTGCGTGCAAATCAGGCTTTGTTCGTGCCCACTTTGAACAAAGCCGTAAAAACAACTTACCTTGCCTTCGGCAGGGACGATTATAATAGCACATTCTTAATTGAGGAGAGAGGTTTCCAGGTTCAGCAGGCTATATCAGAATCTGAATATTTACACTGGCGGAATCTGATGAGTTAATGACGTTCTTTTTGATGAAGACTGGTTCATGAGCGTCCATTGATGATGGACGCCTGTGTTGCGCCCGAAACGTCCTGATTTATTATATTTTATACCTACGTGACTTTACCGAAAGAACAAAATAGTATGGATTCCTGCAGTCACGAAAGCTTCAAATCAAGATTGACCTTACAAGTTCCCTTACGAATTGAGATGGCTCTGTGACAATGACAGCGAGAGTAACACCGGCAAATAAAGCTTCACAACAGCAGCAATTTTTCGATTTAAAGCTTTTGTGACTGCAGGGATTCATCTTTTTGGTTCTTTCGGTAAAGTCACGCAGAAGGGAAATAATAAAATAATAAAAATTAAACATAGTATAATAATTCTCACGACGTTTCGGCCACAACGGCTTGCGTTGTGGCTGAAAGAACCAAGAAGATGAACAGCAGCAATGACAATACATATCCAGCATTCCAGACACTCCCAGTCAATTCAAGTGGCATGTCAGTGCTGAGCAGGTTTAGCGTGCTTCAGGTGGCCCTGGTGGAATGATGTTTGTCCGTTCAAAGATTAGACGGATTATGCAATGATAGCCATTCCAGGATTGGAGTGATGCATTTCGTTTCACCGCCATATATAATCGTGAACACAACTAAAACTTGCATGCTTAGGAAGTAGTAGTTTGTATTCCAGTGATTTTTTTTTCATGGCGCTCCTAATTCTCGATAGAGAATTGTCATTTGCCTACGACCAATTCACCGGGAATGGGTCCGATATTGTCAGATCTTCGGAAGCTAAGCTGGGTTGAGAATGAATGGGCAGTACTTGGATGCAAGACGACTATCCACAAGTTGTTATAGGTTGCCAGTTCACGTGGAGTGAGGGCCAGTGCAGAAATATGTAATCCCCTAGTGAAAATGTAAACAGGTTGGTTATAAACTGTTGAGACACAATACAACGTGTACAACTGGGTAATGCATCTTCTGACTCCACTCTACAAAAGGTGTTCGACACGACGTTGTTGCTGAGTCTTATTCTATTCTCAACATCTATGAACACAATAGCGTCAAATTGATCTCGTCATAAAATTTCGACGCCATGCCGACAATATGAGTCACGATAGTCCCGGATCTTCAGAAGACAATGTGCAACTAAAAATACAAGATTACTTTACAACCCCACTCTTAAAACGCATAACACATTCCTGCGGAGGGAGTTGGTAGGAAGGTTGGGTTTATCCTCCATCCTTAAATCATGCGCTGCGCGCGTCAGGGACCGTCCATAAATGACATCACGCACCTGGGGGGGGGGGGGGGGTCAGACATTTCTGACGATGTGTGACGAGGGGGGGGGGGGTGTTTGAAAAATGTGACGTCACATCAAAATGCGCAACTTTAATAAATATGGACAACACGTTCTACTTATTTTAATAAATGTTTCTCCTACAACATCAGAGTGCAGCGCCACATTAAATACGCTCTACAATGACAATAGCTTAAAGGGATTTGAAGCATGTATTATATTTTTTTGGGGGGGGTAGAGCTTTGTGACGTCATATTTGAGAGGGGTCTGACTTTTTGTGGGGGGTCAAAAATCGTCCAAAATCGGGTGATGTCATTTATGGACGGCTCCTCAGTCTTATCCGAATGAGAAGTGCATGTGCATTGACTTAGGTCGGAGAGAGACCGCACTTTTATCTACAGCGTAAAACTGTTTTTATAATGCACATAAAAAGAGATCAAGAATGTTACACACGTACATCAATATTTGTTCGATTGTATACATTTAAACCTATAACACCCTGCCTCTGAGCTCGGTACACGTTAATCCCTTTCTAAATTCTCACGTCGGCACATTCTCTCCATCGCTACACCCAATAGTCCGGCTCGGCCTGCCTCTGCACTCACTGTTTTGCATGTCCCCTCCACGCCACTGGTACTGTTCAAGCCCAGCAGGCATATACGCCCTCTCCCTACACGGCGCTTGCGTCTTCGGCATCGTGATTGAGAGCCCCTTGAACCAGCTTTCTGTCTCTCCGCACCAAGAAACGTGGTCCACGATCATTAGTGCAACTAAAGTGTCTGCACGGGCCTCTGATCTCCATCCTGTTTGGCTCAGATCTTTTTGCTATCTTTTAACATCCTGCCTATCATCTCCCTTGCCTTAGCCCCCTGTGTTGCTGCTTCCCTTTGCAGTCCCTCCAGAAAAACGCGGAGTTTTTTGGTGATTGTTGCGGGCAAAAATCGTTGATTATGCGGCACGTTTTCTTAAAAAATGCGGTGGAATATGCGGGATATTTATGCAATTTTATGCGATTAAATTCCGGGAACTTGCAAAAATTGCGGGAACTTGCAAAAACTGCGGTTTGATGAAAAAGAGAAAAAAAAGTGATTCCCCCAACACCCTATTCACTAGGCTACTACTTTAATGTAAAGAGTCATTTCTTATTACTTCCTATGATAAGCAAGCATACTACATCACAGAAAGTGCTGGGAATATTTAAGTTCTCATCTTGTTTTATTTCAGACCTTAACAAACAGATGGCTCAAACTTACAAAACATTGAGTCGAACAAGTTCTGTAGCTTTACAAAATGAATATGCTACAACTTCTGTAAAAATGAATAAATAAAATATAAAAAAATAAAATGTGTGCTTCCTGTTTTACAGAGGTAGCTATACAAAACAGACATCTTCTGTTAAAATAAGTGTTTTCAGTGCACAGTAACGTAAGCAATACAGTAACAGTACAGTCTTGCAGTAATGTAAATTTACATACTACTAACAAAAAAGTGCAATCTTACAACTGTAATGAGTGACGTCACTTCATAACGTTCCCATTGCAACAGGGGAAATGGCTGCGCTTGTGTGAAGTAAACGCAACATTTTTCAACTTTCTGCTAAGATATATGTGACTTTTTGCAACGAAAATGCGGGGATTATGAAATCATGCAAGCCCGCATATTTTGCGCGCGGAAATCTGCAATTTATGCGGCAAAAGTGCGGCGTATTTGAAAAAACGCGCCCTCCGCATAAATATGCGGACTTTGGCTGATTTTGCGTGGAATCTTGCGATCGCATAATCGCGTTTTTCTGGAGGGACTGCCTTTGGTTGATGCTGCCTCTTGCCCCCCCCCCCCGCCCATACCTCTATTAGCATCACCCTCTCCTGCCTTGGGGGCACCAAAGAAAAAAAAGAGACCCCCCCTCCACCAATGGGTAAAGGTAATACACATACTCTTTGGTTATTTCGGTAACGTCACGTAAGTAGAAATAAAATAAAACAAATCACGACGTTTCGATCGCAACACAAGCAATCTTCATCAGGTGGAACAACCACAGCAAGAAAAATGCTGAAGTAGGCGAGAGAGCTGCCGTGGAAAGAGGTAATACACATGTTATATTATTTATGTTGTTAATACTCAAATGATCATATGAAAGAACAAAGTCATACTTTTCTTAGTAAAAAAATGATTTTAAAAGGTTTTCACCTTGGCCCTGTGTACATGTACACCCCATGTGTTTATCCATTCCTGGATAAGCAACCTCCCCGTGCCGTTTTGTTGATCAGAGTTCTTTCGCCGTACTTCGCCACTGGTCAGTGTGTGGGGTGTGAAGGTGGGGAGCATAGTACTGTACAACAATGTCCCCCGCCCGCCCGCCTTACTCTCTAATGCTCACAGCGTACCCCTGCAGTAGCTGCTGACGCCTGTTCATAGATGGTGGTAGGCGATTGTGGAAATCGCCTTCCTCTCTCCGTTGGGGAATCCCGAGTCAAGTTTAACTTTTCAAAGCACGTCGTAAAACTCACCTATTTGTGCAGGCCTTCCCTATTTACTTAGGATGTCAAAAAAACACAGTACCCAAATTGTATTCATTGGCTTTTCCCGTTGTCTGATTTGATTGCTGTGCTATTATCATTCGCTTTTATCGTAGTTTGATTTTCATTGTCTGCATTTCGAGCCGTCGTTCTTGTTATTATCAGTGGCTTTGTATTTGTCTTTAATTTTATCTATATTCGTGAATAGTTTTTATTATTATTATTTTACGTACAGTACTTTGAGATATGTTGATATGACAGAGGCTTTATAAAATGGTGATTATTATTTTCCAAGCACTCCGGAGGATTGGGTTATAGGATCACACCATGTAGTTTTTGACCTTGACAGTCTGAAAATTGGGCACGTGTTCGGGTGGCAGACCTGGTCTTCACCTGAGGACGGCTGCTTGCGTTGTGGCCGAAACATCGTGAGAATTATTGTATTATGTTTTATTTGTATTGTTTTATTACTTCCCTTCTACGTGACTTTACCGAAAGAACCAAGAAGATGAATCCCTGCAGTCACGAAAGCTTTAAATCGAAAAATAAAAGGAATTGATCTGTACCGAGATCTGGCACCGACATTGTGTTCAACTTTATTTCAGTAGACTGCACCGTTTGCATAGACTTAAGCCAGATCGAGACGTACCTCTGTGATTGGTCTGTGGAAAAGGCTGACACTGTCTATACATAGCGCACTGAAAATGTGGATTGTCAGGTGTATGAAGTAATACGCTGTCGGGGAGAAACCCTGGTGTGGGTGTGGTACAGATTTGCATGACGTTCTACGAGTAAAAATGTCATCAAATAGGCTGCGTTATGCAGTTCTGAGCTGGCAAAATTGCACACTCTCTGGGTCATTCAGTTGTAAGAAATCGTTAATATTCACTAAAAAGTTCATTAGTAGCAGGATGAAAATTCACCGGGATTCCAAAGTAATTCCCACGACTGATATTCACATGCAAAGTTTAGTTTTGTTCACAATTCTATTGATGGCGTTCAGTGGTGGTGGACTGTACACTCGTAAAATACTGATCGCTTCACTGCTTTGCAGGAATGACTGAGGCACAATCAATCTTCACTGCAGTCACAGCTCTTGTCTCAGTGTATGGAGCAAGCTTCATTCTCCACATACCAGCTGGAGCTCGTTCAAGCGGCAATCCATGGATACTGTGGGTGTGAAATTCTCACATCTGCTTTTGTACATTTTTGTTCCATATTTTCGTTAACGACCGTGTTTCTGAGCCGTATGCCATCGCAAGTGATTCTCACCGATGAAACATAAAACGGTCATCTTTTTGATTATTGGTTTGTTACTTTTCATTATCAAGTTACGGTTTCCAAAGGCACTTCATCCCATTCACGTCTGGCTTGATTTCATTAATGCAATGTTGGTTAACTTCAGCGGCTGACCAAGTTTCATATTTTATCTGTTCTGCTTTTGTCAATTTGTTGACTGAGGTCACTCTTACCTTGGCATTTTCTCGTCTGGGAAAAAAAACCTCAAATGTAACCTGGAACTTGACATTTTTTGTGTTCCGCTTTTTAACTCTAATTTTTTTACCGAGTGCTGTTGTATTCGATGTTCAGTTTCACATCGCAGTCTCTTTGTGATACTTATTACTTTCGTCAATATGTATATTGACTTTTGTTCTCTGTTTACTTTCTTATACCACTCCACCCTCCCCCACCCCCTCCCCCCATGTTTATTTTTTAAGCATGTTTGTGTATGGGGCTAGATGTTAACTACCTTGCCTGGTAAGCACGGGGTCGTGGGTTGGATACTAACCCTAACGCATGTATTTTTGGAGTTTGCGTGTTCCCGTGGTCGCGTGGATTTTTTGTCCTGGTCTTTTAGAAACATGCGTTTAGAGTAATTGGCTGCTAAACATTTCCAGATGATAAGCCACTTCGTTGAGCTGTCATTCGTGGTCATGTCGCTTCTGAAAAATACCTTTATGTACTCTTAGTTATTTCGGTAAAGTCCCACCTGATGACGGAGACTTGTGTTGCCTCTGAAACGTCGTGATTTTTATTGTTTTATTTTAATTTTAATTTCATTTTTTACCTACGTGACTTTACCGAAAGAACTAAGAGTATGAATCCTTGCAGTCACGAAAGCTTTAAATCTAGAATTAATACCTATATACTCAGTGGGCCTTACCTGGTAAAATAAAAAATTGTTTCAATATTTTTGGTTTCGTTTGGGAATATTACGTTTCACTGTCAAGTTAAGGTTTTCAAAAGCACCTCAACCCACTGACATTTGCCTCAATTTCATTCATACATTTTTCTGACACTTGTCAATCGCTGTTCTAAGTACATATATGGGTGGTGACGTGGTCGGGCAAACGGTTATTTATGTGCCGCTTGTTGCAGAGATTCGCGCTTCGATTCCGGTTAATACCGCGGGTGTACTGACCATAAACTAAGCACCATCTGGCTCAGTGACATCATTCAACATTAGCAGGCCATTGCGTGCTTACACTGCAGTTAAATTTGCTTTTAATCCCCCACAAATTAATGAATTGGGAGAACACGAAAGAAAAATGTCCCCTAATGTGAAACTACTGCAGCACTGTTGTAACTACATAGCACCTTTCCGATAGGCTTGCGTGAATAGCAAATATAGGAATGATTTAATGTTATGTTCAGTTGTGTTTTACGACTGAGTCCCTCATATAGATTGGTTTGTGACAGCTTGGATGACTTCACCGCACTTGGGTTTAATCTTTTTGTTCAGCGCTGTCCTCTGAGTTTAATTTGAAGTGATATATTTGAACAATTAAGATGCAATGGTGACAATTGCATAAACCGTAGCAACGTTTACAAGTGTGTGGATTTGTGATGTACATTTGCCTTTAACGTGTAATAGCTATAATGAATTAATTAAACGTGCGAATAAAACAATTAAACATGAATGCATTTTTAATAATAAAATAGTAATAAATGATCATAAATTAAATAAGTTATTAAGACTGTTGACTAGTAAATTAATGAACAAGTAATACCTTTCATATCGAGGGCACTAATCTTTCCTACACCTTTTTTTACATCCATTACACTATTGTAATATTACAATTGCAATTATTTAAATTAACACCTTTATTTTTATTATTAATTTCATACATTGACATTTAATAACCTTTCACACGCTAGCATTTTTTTTGCGACCACCCATATATACAACAATTGACTATTTTCAGGAAATAGTCTCCCTGCTCTTCTGCTGGGTCGTCGTGCAAGAACACCAATACAAGGACTCCTCCACTTTCGACAATTCAACTTACGAACTTTCAGAGACCGTCACAGCCAGATTTGCTGCATCAAGTAAAGAGAAGTCCCAAGAGACCCCACCTTATGCAGCAAATCTGGCTGTGACGGTCCCACCTGATGACGGAGACTTGTGTTGCCTCCAAAACGTTGTGATTTTATTGTTTTATTTTTATAAATTTTTATTTCATTTTTTACCTACGTGACTTTACCGAAAGAACTAAGAGTATCATAGCAATACCTGCTTCGGTGTGTAAACATCACCACTGGGGAGACAAAGGCAGCAGGGTGTGGTGCTGGCCACCCCAACCCCTCGTGTGCCGTTGTCAGCCTTCATAAACACTGCTCTCTAACAGTACTTGCCCCAACAGCCTGTTAAGGCTACATGGGGGAATCTTTGTCTTTGTTGTGTGTGTCTGTGCGTGTATACGGGTATTTTGTGCCCATCATACACTCCACCCCCACAACTTTCAATTGGTGATGGGGCAGCTGTGAAGAGAGTGGAGAGTTTGCCATACCTGGGCAGTGTGCTCATGACCGGTTCATTCCGTATCATTTAAGTGACATTATCTTTTCATCGGTTATGTAACGCTGTGTGGTAGCAAACAGATATGTCGCTCCACACTAAGTTCCGGGTCTTCTCGGCCACGGTCATGCCCTCCCTTCTTTACGCTTGCAAAACGTGGGCAACCCGAATGGAACATCTTCAACGACTGAAAACATTTAAGCAAGGACGCTAGGGGCCACCCATTGAGTAGGTACGCCAAAATCTGTCAAAACTTGACTACCCCCCCCCTCCCTCCCTGTACGCACGCGTACTTTTACACCCCCCACCCCCCACCTGCGTACATACGTACGCTTGACGCATCCGAATCCGATAGAACGACCGATATTTAATCCACGCAGAAACGATCAAGGTCCACCGCCGGCTGCATTAAATAAATGAGTTGTGTACCTTTAACAAGTTTGTCTTGTGTCCGCTAGGTTCAAACGCCGACTTAACCCGGTCGAACAGGTGACGTGTTATTCATGATCCTGGCTGAAGTCGACGGACTTGATGCAGCATCGCCAGCCAATATTTTGTGGCAACGCATCAGATGCAGCTGAAATCAATGATTGTAGGTGCTAAAGCTTCAACGTCAGCGGAGGATATCTCAGGCACTTCAAGCGTTGGCGAGCTTCTGCTCGCCAACGCTTGACTTGCTAGATCAGCAGCAACATTTTCATACGTAGTGTCATCCCACTTTATTTTCTCCCATAACCGATTCGTTTATTTTTGTTGTTCTTGTTTACTAGCTTGCGGCCTTGCTTTACACACAGCTTTGTACAAACAGTTATATACTTGACCGTGTTATCCATCCTGACTGGTTATTCAAAAACACGCGTCTATTTTGATCTTCAAACAATTAAAACTCGGTGAACTCGTCTCAATATAAAGTGCGTCGACTGAACATCTGCTGTAAGAGTAGACCGATGTACAGACGAGTGTTAGTACTGAAGTCCAGGCCGCAGCAGCAGCAGCACAGTGGCAGCTAAAATCTTGAGCCAGTGGCAGTCTGCAGTGAGGCCAGATTCAAGGATGTGTGATCCATGGGTCAGGCCGCCAAACTATGTCAGACTCCCTGCTGAGCTGCGTGACAGCTAGCAGTCAGGGGTACGGTGGCGTACAAGTGACACCTCTCCCACAGTCCTACTTCTCCTGAAGAAACTAAACTGTGGCTCATTTGAAGGCCAACGGAGACAAATTATTATCGAGGCTTCACCCCGCCCCCCTATCCGTTTCCTATGCGTACATTGTCCGTAGACACCCCATATGCAAGCGGACGCATTTGGGTTACCTCCCCTCCCCCCTCCATGCGTACGTACTGAATGGATGGCCCCTTACTGGGCAGTTGGAGACAGTCGCCCTCCAGCAACAACGAAGGGCAGAGGAGCGACGCTCACAACAACGAGCGGAACGCCAGGCGGCTAAAACACAGCAGTTGACACGGTCGGGGCACAGGTGGTGCATCAGGCAGTCATCTCAGTTAGTCGACCCATGGCACCTGCTGGGTCTGTCCCGTGACCTCCTGGCAGCGGGCGTTCGACACTTCACGTGGCCTTAACGTGCACATAGCCTGGCACAGGCGTCGTGGAGACGTCACCGCCACTTAGTGGCGAATGGCGGTTGTTGTTCTTGTGTATGGGTACGCGCGTGCCCCGTGTATGTGAGTGCAATTGTGGTGACTTATTGCACCCCTTCCGACTACAATCTATTATCAGAACCCAAGGTAAGTGGGAAAAAAAATCTGTTTTCGTTACTTTAGTTAGTTTTATTTACAATGCAGTTTTTACGTACAGTGTTACATGCAAATGTACAATATTTGTTTTTAATAACGAGTTTATCAATGCTTCTCTATTTGTTGAACCGTAGCACATTTCATAACACCGATCTTTTGGCAATTAAAGTGCATCATTGTGTTCGGGCTTACGAACCGTTCGACTTACGAACGGGCTTAAGAAATCAATGATGTTCGTAAGTCGAGGACCGGCTGTAATGAGTATAAAAAAATCACCCAATATCTATCCACTGTTAGATGAGGGCCTCCCCAATACCTCTTCAGAGGTCTCTGCAAATGAGCTGATTTCATTGCTGCACACCCATGGTGGAAGTCATTGAGGAACATTTAACAACTGAATAAAGAAAGCTGTGAAGGTTGGTCGAAGATGAAACAGCAAAATCAAAGTCAAATACGACACGATTGCTCAAACTGTTGAGCATATATATTTTAAGTATAACTGGAAAGCTTATTAGAGTATATGTAAACCTAGCACAATATTGAAAGGTCAACCGGCATGAGGACAACTCAAATAACAAGGCAGCTGAGAGTAAGTACGCCCACGTTTCGCCAACTGACTTTAATAATAAAAAAGACACGTACTGCTTTTCCTACAGAAGTAATGCGCCTTAAATGAACACAAATGCTCGCACACTCGAGTGTGTGTGTGTGCGCACACACGTGTGATGTGAATGGGCGTGGCGTTTCCGATCGTCAGAAATGTGGTTTGTTGGGTTTTAAGAAATTGTCATGTCATGAGCCACTATAAGAGCCCCGTGCCAGTGGTCAAGGCTCATCGAGAAAGGCGTTGGGGGCTCGCGTGCTACAGGCATAGACAAGAGCGTCGTCACCATGAGGCTCATTGCCAGCCTTCTCACCTGCTTCCTCCTGGGTGAGTCACCGGCACTTTCCAGCTGAAATGTATCATCGCCTGTGCTTTGGGATGCGATGTGGCTTCATTTGAATAATGAAGAATAGAAAATGTGTTCAACTTTACGATTATTTCTTTTGTTTATTTTTCAGTTGGCGATGTGCAGGGCAACTGGGAGGGTTCATTGCAACGGGTGTTGAGCTATCCAGGCACCTGCCACAAACAGCTGCAGGGCTCGGGTTACTTAACCATACCCTACAACGAGAGTTGCCTCTACACGATGAACGTTGACGCAGATGAAGTGGTCAGCCTCTCTCTGAATTACTTGTAAGCAGTGTTACATTTTTGAAATCTCTTGTTTTTATGAAGGGAATTAAGCGGAAGAAGATACGCGCAGTACAACGGAGGAGATGCAGTATGGTATAGTTGGGTGGATAGGCAAATGAGGGGACACATTCAGGAGGGTCGTAATCGTGCAACGCTAAGCCAATGGACCGTGTTTGGTACGGTCAATTTTACTATGCACAGCAGGAGAGTTGTGATAAAGTTAGCATCAGAAACAGCATCAACATATCTTTGTTCATAATCAACGTTTTTGGGTATAAATAAAGCGATCTAAACCCAAAAACCTTGATTATGAATATCTTTGCTATTTATACAATTAAGATACCATCGTGAAGAAGAGACGTGCATGAATGCAGTCAAATCAGACTGTTTTAAATCGTCACAACTGGTGAAATAATAGCCCAAACTGTCAGAGCTGATGGGTAAATGTTGGTTGGGACACGGAAGACTTGGGAATGGTGGGGGGAGGGAGGGGTCAGTGAAGAGGTGTTGAGCTTCTCCCTAGCGATGTGACAGAATAAAATGAATCCGCGACAGAATGAATAATACATCACATTTTCAGGCCCAAATGTGGAGACATTGGGCGTGGCTTTGCCCAGGTAAGGAATATACTGCATCGGGAATTGACGATACAAAGTTGGATTAAACGGGAATCGTCGAGATTGTTAACGATCCAAAGCTCGATCACTGCTCGATAACTTCTCAAAGACAAACCCCTCCCTCCTCCCCATGGACACATGTATTGAACATGTCATAGCTTGATTACTGTTCGATTCCATCGATGCAAGTATTCAAAATTACAAAACTCGATCCATGCTCGAACACATAGACATGTGTATAAAAACCAGGGGCGGTTTCTTCATTAGGGCGATTGGGCGACGCACCACCAATGTCATTCAACCACAGAGTCACGCTAGCCGTGACTGTGCCTCTGGATATAGTCCAATCAGCGTCATGTCAAGTTCTGTGGAGTACCGCCTCTTTTTGGGCGATTTCACTCCGGCTGAGAATCGCCCCGAGTGGCCCCATAGACTTACATTCAAAGATGTTTTGTTTCGAACGGGGGGCGCTGCAATGCATTCTCTATGGCTTCCGGGAGGGCTCGCACTAACGTGCTTACGTCATCATACGTAAGCACGTTTCAGTCAACAATATAATTTGTCGCCACCTAGTGGAATCTTTAATAAAATAAACTTGAGTGGATTGTATTAATAGTGAGTATAGAAACAAACAAGATGTATTGTAAGAGTCACTTTATTTTTCATTAATATTAAAGAAGTGAAGTTGCCTTTATATGCTTAAGCTGTTAATTTATCCATTGCATGGGTGGACCTTATCCTTATCAATCATCCAGACATTTGCCCCCCCTGAGAGATTTTGCAGGAGCCGCCACTGATAAAAACGATGTCATAGCTCGATCACTGTTCAAATATCGCTCGAACACGTAGACACACTCAAGCCATTTTTAAAGAATCAAGATACTGCTGAGCAATACAGACATTGCATCTGAAATATATACCGTCTATACTGGCTAGGTACGGGTGGCAATCTGACACACCACATGGACGTGGAGGGTTATGTTTATATTTTGTTGTCCACAGTTTTCCCTACTGCCTGAACAACACCACTGGAGTGAGCGTGCATGATGGACCAGACAATATGGCACCCATTTTATCCACGTTTTCCTGCGGCTATAATACTGCAGGCCTCGTGTCAACAAACTCAACCCTCTCTGTATACTACTTCCAAAGTAGCAACAATTATTCCTTATCATACGTCTACATCTCATTCTATGCATCACCTGGTGGGTACCACACACACACACACACACTGACACTTGTTGGGTAATGTTATTCAATCATTCATGCTCGAAGTTTGAGTCAGATCAAAGTCCACAAAGATATTTTTAATTAATTAACACTGGAATAAGCCCATTGAAGTCCTGGCAAAAACCTCGTGAAATTAAGTCAATAAAATAATTTACACAACAAGGTGAGAGTGAGTGAAATTTTATTAACTACAGTCAATTCAATGATCTAATTTTGCAAGTGTAAGCCAGACATTATGCTTGTTTACTCAGGAAAACCTCGCTGAGTCTCATTAATCCATTGAGAAGGGTCCTGTAAAGTTTTTTGCATGGGGGGATGATTGCTGTGTAGATTCCAAATGAGTAATTTGCGGAGTACATTTTCAAACTTGTACCATGACGGTGGCACCACAGAATGGCCTACTCTTACGAATAGCATCACTGGATCATTAATGTCCGCTGTGAACCAGACAGGTGTGCATTTTATTGTTAATGCACCCGCAGTAATAACTAGGGTGGCCACTGGAGTCGAACTGTGGATCTCTGCAACAAGCACCGATCACGCTACCACTAGCCCATGGTAATCAAACTTATTTATAGCAGCTTTTAAAAAAGTTCGTATGTTACGCTTGGAATAACACACCTGTTGGCCAATGAGTTGGAGGTATTATTTTTTTTCAGGACATTGTGCATCATTATATGCAAATATGCATAGATTTTTTTCCACAGTTGAACATTTCACGTTTTGAACATAGAGAGTTAATTCGGGGTGTAGGTGTTCTATTGTATGCAAAGGTGTCCGCCAGAATTTTGGTTCTCACCTCGTATCCTTTTGACACACTGATTTTCTGCCAAGTAACATTACCAAACAAAGACAAATCTTAATCATTCGGCATCACCTTACAAGTTTGAAGACTTACGCGTGAGCATTTTCGAGATAAACTTGACAAACATGTGTATATTGGTATAAGAAGTACAGTTTATGTAAGAAGTGTTCCTGCTAACATTGTGCTTTGTTTCTCAGCTTCCTCAAGGTGTGGGGGGAGGCTGGATGCTCAAAATATGATGCTGACATCTCCAAACTACCCACACAACTATGAGTACAACTCCAGTTGCACTTGGGAAGTCTACGCTCCACCCGGATCTGTTATTTATCTATATATCAATGATTTTGAGTGAGTATGGAGTGTGCCATGAGAATATCAATCCTACGGACATTGCAACATAATTATCTGTGGACAATTTGTGCTTTAAAAATAATTCCTGCCACAACTGTGCGATATTTAAAACCGATAAAGATTACGATTCCCTCTTGGCTGATTTGCTCTAACTTGTCACCCTGAATTGTCACAATTGATCAAATTTCAGGGGGCGGATGAGTGAGGGAGAATTGTTGTATGCTCACTTATTTGGCTGGGATGACTTAAATTCTTAAATAAATTACACGACTTTCATGAATCATACTTAGATGCTCAAATGACATTTCAGCAGGGTCATGTTACATTTCGCCACCTCAAAGTTGTTTTGGTATTTTGGGTTTTAGTGTGACATAACTCATGAACATTTTAGCCATCACCATGATGCACATTAAATATATTTAATGGAAATGATGCTTCGCATTCAATGTTGGTCAAATAATAGGGGAAGCTCCCCCATTGTTCAGTCTGCATACTTTCTATCTACAGAAACTCCAATCTTGATTTGAAGCTTTCGTGACTACAGGAATCCATACTCTTTGGTTCTTTCGGTAAAGTCACGTGGGTAGAAAATAAAATAAATCACGACGTTTCGGGCGCAACACAAGCGTCCGTCATCGCTTTCCCACCTGATGACGGACGCTTGTGTTGCGCCCGAAACGTCGTGATTTATTTTATTTTTACCTACGTGACTTTACCGAAAGAACCAAAGAGTAGGCATAAACTCCACCAATACATATAGAATTGAACCAGAATGAACTAAATTGACTAAAAAGGAAGAAACTATTTTCGGAATTGATTCCTAAATGGACAGGGAATTATTGTCGGCTTCCAGCTCCTGCCACTTTGGGTTATATCACTTTCATCTTCTTGGTTCTTTTGGTAAAGTCACGTAGAAGGTAGGTAATAAAATAATAAAACATAATACAATATTTTATTATTTATAAAATAATAAAAATAAAACATAATAAAATATTTTATTATAAATAATAATATTTAATTATAATTAATAAAATATTTTATTATGTTTTATTTTTATTATTTTATAAATAACTAGCAGAAGTACCCGGCGTTGCCCGGGTGAAAAAGATATTTCTTAATAACCTTACATATATACACAGATGGGCTGCTACCCCTGCCCCCCCCCCCAGCCACGATCTCCTCGGCCGCTGTGCAGTAATATGTACGGCCTATAGTGTGGTGGGGTGTCGAGGCCTAGTAGCGTGCAGAGCCTCCGGCCTCGCCTAAATTGCCCACCCGGCTGAGGCTGGGTACGGGTGCCGTCCCCCCCCCCCCCCCCGCGCTACAATAATACTGTCTAATCGCTATAATTTTATTATCTACCGACCCTATAATAGTAATTGCACACATTGGGGTGGGAGAGGAGTGAAGAGGACGTGAAACTTTGATGAATTTACCTCAGTCGCGTGTTAATGCGTGCGCATATTTTTTACGGGAATTAAAAATGGCGTCCACCCCGCAGCGAATGCGTCGCTACCCGTTGCCAGGGGCAACCGCCGTGGAAAACCAAACGGACCAATCGTGTCTCGCAAATCCCTCACATTTCATCCAATGAAACTGCGTATGGTCCGGCGACACACAGACAGACAGACACACACACAGACACACACACAGACAGACAGACAGATTTGCGATTTTATATATATAGATAAAATATTTTCTTATGTTTTATTTTTATTATTTTATTACTTCCCTTCTACGTGACTTTACCGAAAGAACCAAGAAGATGAATCCCTGCAGTCACGAAAGCTTTAAATCGAAAATTATATCACTTTATTGATCAATTTCTTGTCGCTCAGGGTACTGGATGAGCCCGGGGCTGATAGAACTCGCAGTCACAACCGGCAGTGCGACCACGACAGCCTCACCGTCCTGGAGAATGACAAAGGAAGCAGCTCGGTGGTGACTCGTCTTTGTGGGATCCTGCCAGCCAGCCAAGTGTCCACCACTGGCAACATGACCCTGCAATTCACCTCGGATGGCTCGGGGAATGGAAGGGGGTTTAGCCTTAGCTTATACCGTAACGGTAAGAGGCTCGGTGGCTATAGTCTCTAAAATGTTGGCGAGTGCACGGAGGCATTAGGAGACCCTTTATGATCTCCTACTTGGTCTCCGTGAGCGCGATGTGCTTGGCTATTTAGTAAAGAGGGGAGGAGTCTGTGGATGTAGGGTCATATCCCTTTTCTGTAGGTATGTATGTATGTTGAACCTGTTTCGCACTGTATGAAGCCCAACGTGCTAAGTGGAGGTGCGGGCGTATTTTCTAAAATCTTAGTGCTTCAAATACACAAGAGTTGCCTATCTCAACAATGCTTTTTGGGTTCTGTATTTCACCAGCTAATTCTATCCTTTTAAATGGTCTGGTTATCAGCATAGGTAACCGTGCCCCACTAATGGCGTGCAAAAGTGACTCAAAAGAGTAGGGCACGGGCAATATAGGGGTAAAAGTGCACGAGGCTTGAAGTCAACCGGTATCCATCTGTTTAGCTGTTTCACCTGCTGATTCTAAGTCCCGCCACAGCCAGGAAAGTGAGTTAAGGTTGGGCTATTTACAGTGAAAAACTGACCACCACACAATGCTCATCCTGCCCTATTGGAAAAGTGGCAGAGTAAAGTATTGGGAAACTTAACACATAGGTTTTTGCAGCCTATATTATGATTCATGCTTGAATTTTGGGTTAGGGCACGTGATGATTTGGCAAATTATTTGTTAAGACCCTCAGCCCGACACAGCCAAAAAAAACGAGTGATCACACGCACGAGCATTTATTGTGCCAATTATACTTTTTTCAGCTCAACGTTAAATTGAATTCTCACAAGTAAATGTAGAAATTAGATACGGTGTATTTGATACTGCATCAAATATCATCAGGAGAAGATCCAGGATGTCAATACAAATCTAGGAAGTCTGAATTTTTTACTTCGTTGAGTTTTTGTTTTTCTTCCTGACTCTCACTTGCTCGTGGGCTGAAACAATCATAGTTGGTGCGTTAAATGCTCGTACACCACGCGACAATCTCATTGGCTTGGCTGTGGTCGGGTGATGGATGGTCTTAACGACGCAATTTTTTTGTCAGATCATTATCTTGCCCAGCCTGAAAACATCTATTACGGATAAAAGTTTTAGGCAACCTGGAACTGGTGAATATCTCCAAGGCCACAGCTGCACGATTCGCACAAACCTTGACAATGCAGCTGGTGACTTGATGGTGGGGTTGATGATCACCATGATAGTGTGCACTGTATTGCCCATGTAAGCAGTAGAGCAAGGAAGTCACTACTCGAAATGCGGTATGGTGGCCTTACAAATAATGGATGAGATGAAACGGTCAGTCTTGTAGACAGAGTCCTCAACATGGATAGTGGCATCAAGGAGTGACGTTCACGAGCACAGTGATAATGGTGGTGCCGATAGGAGAGTAAGGAGGTGCATAACTGCCAGTAAGTGAATCGAGTGAATCGGTGAGTGATGTTCACGAGAACAGTGACCATGTGACTAGCGATAGCAGAGTGATGAGGTGAATGACGGGAGTACATTTTTAGTGCGTGTGTTCTTGCCGCAGTCTTACTCTTGATAAAAAATCCCAATGAAGGGGTTTTGTTTTTAACTCATTTATCGTTTAATGTTTCTTTCATTCTGTCTGACGCCTCTCGTTGCCCACAAAATCAGAGAACGTCTGTGGAGGAACACTGGAAGGTACTAATGGTACTTTTGGCAGCAACTACAGTTATCAGTCCTGTTATTGGCATATCACTGTCCCCGAAGGAAGCGTCGTCCACATCAATGCATCATCAAATTGCAGGTAAAGATCACTGCCTTAGTAGTCTGTGTGCTTGGCAGATTGTGGAGGAGCGGTCGAGTGGGAAGTGGGGGGGCAGAGGCGGTGTATGTGTCGTTTTTTTAAGTATGGTATAGTGACAGACAGGCGCATGCATGACAGGGCACAACAGTCTGGGCCCCTTCATTCCGACCAAAAGCCAATAAATAAAATCCGTGCCTGCATCCCCTATTTGCTGTATTAATGTAAAGTGCAGTGGAATTATCCGTGTTTTGAGAATTCACGAGCTGAGATTCTACTTGTGGATGTGTGGCATTCTGAATATGGGACATTTACACAAGTTACATCGAATGTGGTTATTGTTACTTATTCCACACTATTCATGATGCTTAAAATGGTTTCAGACTGACAAAGCCATGGCAGTGGAATGAACTGTCTTGCTCGTCGGGAATATAACAAGAAACTTTTATTTCGATCACCAACGTTTGTCCAGTTTCTCCCTCAATCCAATAATCAAATACAGCCATGGCCATCTGTGTCAACAACAACAACAACAACTCTTTGATCAAAATAACAAAAATACACCCACCTCTCTCTCGCTGCCCTCATCCCCCACCCCACACATCCGGCCGGCACCCCCCCCCCCACCCCACCGGATCTCTCTCCAAGGCTGCCCCCCATTTCCATGAGGCTCATCCCAGGCATAAAATATTTAAAAAAATACTCTTAACTTGACTGAGAAAATATTATATCCTCCCCATCCTTCCATTCTCGGTCATTAAATTCTAAACATTTCTACTGGGACTGCAGACTGAGCTGTTGAATTAAACTCACAATATGTCGATGACGCAGGGGATTGTGAAGGGCAGGACGATATTGTTAAGTGTAAATATGGCATTGTGAAGTAAAGAGATCGCATACAAGGTTTGTTCATGTCAAAGCATTGTTTTTTTGCAGTTATGGATCACATTCAGCATCATTAGGCGATTTGCCCGAGTTGAATTGGTGTGTTTGCTCAGGTGACAACTTTATTTAGCTGTCAGGTGGAGGAGGGTAGACAACACACATTGCCATTGCACTTGCGCGACCTGACCCAAAACCCAATTACAATTATAACATTGGTCTCAAAACCTGAGAGTAAAATAACTTATTTCACCTACAAAATTCCTTGATGGCACATATATGTGTGTGTATAAGTATGTGGAGAGTGGTGGCGTAGCGGTGAGTGTGCTGCATTACGAAACCGGCGACCTGAGTCTGATTCCCGCTCATGGCCAACACCAGTGACAATTATTTAAACCAGTTCTGGGCCTATCAGAGGTCAACTCGGCCTAAAACAAGTACCTGGTGCAATGTGTAAACATTGCCACTAGGGAGACAAAGGTGCCTGGGGTGGTGTTGATCGTGTGTATCAGCAGGATTGGATCCTAACTGGTCAGCTCCTTACATGGACAGGGATTGCGCCGTGCAGTCTTGACATTGTGGCAGAATCTACTTGCCCTGCCCCTATTTTAAAATAGTGGGGCACAATAGGAATGGACCACTCTTTTAATGATTTCTTCGTGTAGCAATGGAGTAAAGCGTGGTTTTGTGGAGGTCCTTATGCGCTGTGCAGTACATCATCAATGCACGTGTGTACACCAGCATGCGATACTGAGTCGGGCCTGTAGGTGGCTGGCAGGGCTATTGAGTCACCTGACATGTACACCAGTCACGTGGTTAATGGCGACTCGGTTGAGGATTGCTGTGTGTGACGCACATGCTGGTGCATTTTATAGGCAAAGGACCCAAATGTTGTTTTTTATAGTTATAGAAATGTTCCAGTCCTTAAGCTTGGCTTTGAATTGGTAGTTTGTGATATATTCAATTGGAGGGGGTTTATCACTGTACACGGTAAAATATTACGTACTGTAGTTAATACTGCTAATTCTCTAACCCTAATAGTGTTTATTCTATAACCATGCCCATGCACCCCGAGTATGGCTACTTGCAGTGCTATTAAGAATATAACACATGTACAGTAGTAAGTTGTATAATGGTGACAAGTACAGTTAATATACAATATACATACAGGACATAATGGATGTAAGATATTAAGTAGATGGTATAGATAGACATACAGCTTAGGATTAAAGTAATATTCGAATAGTGAAGTGTAAAGGTTATGATTAAAGACAAAGATGGTTTATGAATAGTGTAATTGGGTTTAAAGGAAACTTATTGAGTAACCTGACCCGTACACCGGTCACGTGGTTAATGGTGACTCGGTTGAGAACTGCTGTTTGCAGCTCTCACAAATGTGTTTGTCCTCGATTTGGAGCACCCGCCCACGTCCTTCATTTCGAGTGTGCAACAATAGTTTGGCATTTGCAAAATATATCAATTGCAATATTTTGGCTTTGTGGAAAGTTTGTGCCAGTGGAAATATCCATAAAACCGAATATTATCTTCATGAACTTAGTCGTGGTATATTAATGTAGCACTAATGATGGCAATGAGTGTCCCACACAGCTCTGTATAGAGATGCATATCATAATCCTGTGTTATGGTTACTTATATCACCTCTTCTGCTGTTGTAAGTGGGTTGATGCCGGATGAATACTGATTCTTATTTCTCTGTCAGTTGGTACAGCTACTATCAATGGGCAATCTACGATGGCGACTCCACGTTTGCACCTATTCTCAGCCAAGGATACAGTTTCTTCTACTGGGGGTGTGCACAATTTTCTGTAAAATCAACGGGGAACAGTGTCTTAATCCGCTACTATGGGGAAGGATTCACAGCTACCTACACAGCAGTCGGTATGTACATTGTACGATGATGTTAATATGCTCGAATGGAGGCCTAAGTGGATGAGAATGTATGTTATATGTATGTTGAACCTGTTTTGTACTGTACGCAGCCAACGGAGATGATAATCGGAGGTGCGAGAATGGATGTCTGTGAGAGTGAGGAAGTGTGGAGACGTCCCTGCCCTTCCTCGTGATCCCCTTGGTTTGATGCCTTGTCTTGATGGATAATGCCAGTCGTGATTGGTATCAATATCTGATATGGGCACCAATTCAGTCAGTTCAGGCTTATAGTGTGAAAATCGTCACCAGGGAGACATAGGCGTGGTGCTGGTGACACAATCAGTAGCACGGGTGCTCACCACGGGTAAAACGCGTGCAACTATTGTGAGGAAATTCAGTTTATTGTAAACAGCAGCTCCCACTGTTGCTGTGGCTCGATTGGCTCGATGTCCCTTTTGGAACTCAAAACATTGTGGGCTTGAAACTTGTCTGGGGAAACATTTTTAAAACGTTTCGACGTTAAATATATTTAATCAGTTATGTTATATATTTTGTATTGTCAGTTGATGGAAAAGCATTTTAGGAAATTCAAAATTAAGCGGTGCGGTTTTTAAGTGTCTTTTAAAAAAGTCGGTGTGGATTGAACGCCGCTGCTGTGATCACGCAAGTGGGATGATCGTGGCCGCAAACCAGTCGGCGGAGGCTGCCATGAAGAGACGACGCCCGGCAGTGACTCACGGTCCCACTTCTTGGTGTAGAGAGGAGGTTGTGAGTCGTGCTGCGGAGAGTTCTATCATGAGCTGTGGTAATCTTGTCATGAATTGTTTACGTATTTACCCATTTGTCTCCAATAGCTGCGGATCAGTCGTTTGACTGTGATTTCAATGGAGGCTTCTGTGGCTGGGGATCCTGGTCTGAAGATGTCTTTCACTGGGACATAGTGGACAGTCGGTTCTATCCATCATATGGTAATGCTTCATAATGAACATATGTTCACAGCTAACACTGCAACATTGTTTTAATACACAGCTATTCGAAGCATTGTTTCTCCTATTTTGTGTAGTTACAGCGAACGTGTAATTTTGCAGATGGCATTACCCTCATGTACTTTCCAACTGATCTGCTACACCTGTCATCAATGAATTCAGGACGTTAAATGTATATTGTGGCATTATTTGCAAGAGTAAGCCATTGTGAGTCATTGAAATGTTTTACTTAAAATCACGCAATTGGGATTATGCTTAGCAATTATCGCTCCCTACTGTGAAAACTTGACAGGAACCTCCTGCTTAAAAGAGTCACGATACAAGCACAGAAATAATACATCAACACAATTATTGAGGTACTTGTGTTTTTTTGTAACAATAATTTCCATGGAAATGGTCCTGGTGAATGCATAGCCTGTACTATTCAATAAATAATTTGCAAAGGGCAATGAATGAAACATTCTTTCTCAACATAATACATTACTAACCTTTATTTTCATGCATATTTTTAACATCCCATATTTTTTTCTGAATTGGGGAGTTCAGCTTTAGGCGTAGCAGTAATCTGATCGCAGTGACATCTGTAACCATTAGATAAGGATTCGCTATAAAACAATGTATATGATAAGAGACGAGTGGCTCGCACGTTCATCTATTGCTTAAATCTCCATCTGTGTGACAATTCTTATAAGCACACTTATTATTTGTACAACACACACACACACCTTTTCATGGATTGCCTGTTCAGTCGCAGTCTCAATTGTGTCTGTGCGCAGATGGGAGTTCCTTCACTGGAGTACGCATAAGATCTCAACCCAGGAACGGCGCGCAATTGAAAAGCCATCTGCTGAGCCCCGTCTTGCAGCCTTTCAATGGAACTCGCTGCCTTCGCTTTAAATTTGGACCTTACAACAGTGCCAGTCTCACGCTCCGCGATGCATCGGGCCGCGGGGGCATGGTGGGGGACGGGAATCTTCCCCTGCTGTGGAGGCCCAGTCTGTTAAACATAGCGGACGTGGGCGGTGACCAGCAGCAGTGGTCGCAGGCGTTCGTGAACATCTCCGCGGACGTCACTCAGGTGCCCTTGTTTGAATTTTGTCTCAGTGACCTCCTGGCAGGGAGCATACCGCACTTCACGTGACGGCCTCAAAGTGCACCTATCCTTTGCACAGACGCTGTGGTGATGTCACCGCGATTTCATGGCGTTTGAAGGCTGCTGCTGTTGTCTTTGAAGCTTGCCAGATTAGCAAGATTTTTAATTCCATCAAAATATAATCAATGTTAATTGATATATCTTATTGTCAACGTTTAATCCATGATTGCAAAGTGTGCTTTTATACTGGAATAAAGTTTTATATGCAAATTCTGCTTATTGATGAAAACATTTGTCTTCACGTCAAAATATTGTCATCATGGGACATTTGTATGGACTCAGTTGATGCGATTGTAATTATGACCACGTATGAACACGGGTTGAAGTACACAGCCTATAGTTTAGTAACTAATACATATAGACTAGAGTATGGGAAAATGCAGTCTTGACCAGTCTAAAACAGTGGTTTTCAGCCTCATTGTTATGGCGGCCCCCCAAATCAAGACGACTCGTCCCCCCAAATCAAGACGACTCGTCCCCCCAAATCAAGACGACTCGTCCCCCTCCCCAGCCGCTGCATCCACTCCCCCTTGGTTACCAAGGCCACAAGACACGGATCACGTGTCCGTGCCTTTAATCAACACGGTGTTAGTAAGGCATTCGTTGTACTTTCTCCATTTTTCAATCATCGCTCTTCACTTATGTTGGCTGTGTCCAGGAATCGAACTTGAATATTTGGGTTGATAGTGCAGTGCGCAAATAACTGCACCCAGCATTTTTGTTGCATGTTGTTGTTTTGCGGATTGTTTGTAATAACTGCAGGGCGCTTGTTCATTGCACCTTCTGCATGCAGGTGCTGTTTGAGACAACCAGTAGTGTAATCGAGACTCTGGCTGCGATCGACAACGTGGAGTTGAATCCAGAAGCCTGCCCGAGTGACGGTAATACAAATCATCTGCATTGATTCAACATGATATTTCATCTTCAGGTGTGACTGTGTGACCTCATCACCAAATGTTGCTTAACTGCCCCCTCACCACCCAGTCTCTGTAGACCACTTTAGCAAACAACGGATTAACGGTTGGAGTTTAATGAGTGGCGACGATCATGATGTTAATATTGCGTTTGGCAATATGTTCACGAGCCAATACGCCAATGTCGAGGTCTGCTAGCCACGAGAGGGCTTGAGGAGAGAGGGTTTGTGTATTTTTTGCTGCTATTCCTCCACTGAAGGAGCACAGACTACGGTGGTTTACTATATTGTCCATAGTTTTGGTTGCATGGCCACAATCGCACTGTGGCTGGTATTTAATGACCCATTTATGAATGAGATGTGCACATCAGCCTGTTGATGTTCCGATGCAGTCGATGGTTAAAGCAGTGCCTTTGAGGAATGCCGAAGCCAAGAACTGCGATGTTTGGGTCTCAAATGAGGAATTTGTTCTGCACGCCCACGTTGTTTCAACTCTCTGGCATTCTTCTCGGCGAGATTCTGGGCCAGAAATAAATTGTAGAGCGTAGTTAAGGCGATGTGAATGAGGCTACATCAGGGATCTGCATCGTGAGGTCCACTGCTATTTATAATAGGTCTTTACACGTAAACAATTGAGGGGAGGGTGTCATATTTATAGTTGCCGAGCACAGGCCAAAGTTCCGAATACGTCTAGCGTCCAGCAACAAACTGCACTGTCACAGACGTACCGTAATAGGCGTGAACACGTTTAATTTAGCAAGGTTTTAAGAGCTTAGGATAATTGATGACGATCGATCAGATGGAATTCCAAATTGGAGCAGTGCGAGGGAAGAAATAGAAGTGAAGTAACCTGAAGTGTGGTGAGTGAGTGGGTGAGTGGGTTGGTGAATGAGAGTTGTTGGGACCTAGAGTGTTGTTGTAAAACACGGTATGGATGATATTAAACTGTCATTCTGGTGAGACCTCAACATGCGTGGAGGAATCAAGGATAGAAGTTCATGAGAACGGTGACCATTATAGTGGTTGTAATATAGTGACAGGTAAGTGACAGAATGACGTTGAGACGGCGTAGTAGCGACAGAAGAGTGATGAGGATGCGACTGACCATAGGAATTCGTAAGCTCTGGATTAGTGCTTACTGATTATATTGAATTCTATCAGAGCACCATGTATCCTTTGGCTGGCCCTTGTACGTATGATGATGATAAACCTCATTATCATCGTCATGAGGATGATTGGCTTTGTTTCATGTCACTATAAGCGGCGAGTGAAGCCTAGCACTTGAGCTAGTGCTGGATGCATGATTCCTCATGCTCTGTTCTCCCGTCTCCACATCAGATGTGTGTTACGAGGCGGTCAATGCTGACGATGGTGTCATCGTGGCCAATCCTTCTGATGGCAATGTGACCTCATCGTGCATCTGGGAAATAACGGTCTCCACGGGAAAAATCATTCAGCTTCAACTGAACCTAAATCTGTAAGTGAACGGTGCCATAGAGAAGGGGTCACTTGGTCAGGAGCCTCTTTCTCTGGAGGGACTCATCATGTACATTTCATAAACCTGAGGCAGAACTTATAGATGCTTTCTTTAAGTGCTATATCCAAGTGTCTCTCTCAGATGTGTTTACATTCACCGTCAGAAAACTTGTCAAATTCTGGGTTCAAGCACTGAGTTGTCAGCAAACAGCTGCCCCCTTCTCTCTGGCTTCCTCTCTCATCACATCCAACCCTGTTTTCCATAGCACGACATAATCATGAGCGTCATTGAGTACATAATCTGTCCCTTCACATAAACACATTTAAAGCAGTATTCACACAATCAGCCACACAGCCACCTGATGAGATGCTGAATGTTGAAACCCGTGCAGCGTTTGTTTGTCTTAAACCAATGTTGCTGAAGTTATGCACTCCCAGAAGGTTGTATGTGTAAAAAAAAGGGGTTCTATTTGTGAAAGAGGCATATCGTCCGGTTTTTTTTCGTCTGTTATAAATAGCAGTGGACTTCATGTTTGCGGATCCCTGCTGTAGCTTCATTGACATCAACCCTAACGAGTTGCTCTGATTTCTCCAGTCCTCCCTCCCTCCACAGACCCCAATAATAGAAGTCTTTGGGTTAGATTGCTTTCTCCACATTCTAAAAGAATTGTGACACAAATGGCTGGACACAGCCAGTTCAGAAATCTTAGCAAATCTGCTACTCTACTGTAAATTCCCCCCCGCCCCCTTGAGCGTGACATGGGACTGCCACTGCTATTAAACTTGTGCTTTGACTCTCAGATATATGACTTTCTTTGGCCCATGCAGCTCTTGATAACCCATGATTAAAACACACTCGTTGTGACGATATTATTTTTACCATGACGTATTTGTTATTCATGTGCTTGTGAGACTGTGCATGTTCTGCCATCATGAATCATGTTTTACAACAGCCATTTCCTGTTACACATGAATACATATATTGAATGCAATTAAATTAAGATTTTAAGTTGTATAATTAATTGTGACTTTCTTAACCATTGTTAGTGCTGATCATTTACATTTTTAGCCATCCTTTAATAAGGAATTTATAGCTATGCCTCTACATATGTGTAATAAAAAGACTCAGACACTTCTTTCTGTCTCCGTGTCCTTTATTTGGGGTTCGCGTTCTCCTTCCCACACGGCACTCCTCCTGAGACTCTCTCCCTGGCAGCCCCACATCTGCCTTCGCTCCCGTAGCCTTCCACGCTCCTGCAGCTCCGCTGCAGGCTCTTGGTGCAGCCCTCTGGCTGCTCCCCCAGCAGCTCCATCGCTGCTCCCTGTTCCTCCGTGCGTGGCGATCTCGCCACCTCCCAATGTCAGCCCTTCGTGGCCTCTATGGCTATCTCGCCATTTCCTACCTCAGCCCTTCGTGGCCTCTGTGGCTATCTCGCCACTTCCTACCTCAGCCCTTCGTGGCCTCTGTGGCTATCTCGCCATCTCCAACCTCAATCCTCCACTCTCTCTTCCACCCCGCTGGCTGGCGCCGTCATGAGCCCCTCAGCCACCAGGCTGAGGCACGGCGACCACCCAACGTGTTCACCACCCTTCACTCCCCCGACTGACCCTGATAGCTTCCTGTCTCCCCGCTATAACTTCTCCCCCACGTCACCCTGACTCCTCCCTCTCGGATCGTCATATCCGCCCCGCCCATTTACGCCCGCATTACACTACCCTCCCCCGTAGAGAAAATCCCAGCCGTCCTCGGCTGAAACAGAACAAAATAATGCGGGCGAAGGCATCACAATCAGGAGTCCCCCAGACACAACGGAGATTATAAGAACAACAACACAAACAACGAAAGGGGAGGTATCAGGAACTGGAACAGAACACCGGCCTGTCCTCCGCGCAACATCAACAAGAATAAGAATGGCACAATGAACAAAAACGGCAACTGACACGCAAGAACGGCCAACGCGCACAACCCAGAAATGTGATGTTTTAGTGCGTGTCCATGTTGCAGTTCCATCCGCTCGGCTCAAGTCCAACGTCAAGAGCAAGTGGTAGAGCAGAATGACGAACGGCGCTCAATTGCTCCTTCAAGTCCTCATCCAGCTAGCACACCAGGTACCACCCAGTGCGACGGGAGCTGAAGAATCTGTGACGAGAAGGAGAATCCAATCCCCTGAGGCACAGCACAACAACGCACATCCGCATGTCGTACACGACAGCCACCCGGCCTCAGGGTAGTGGAGATGATGTAAATCCAGCCCGCTTAAAAAAAACTCCCCATAAATACCCAAAATAACGCAATGGATGCCCCAGTATTTACATTTTAACAACAATATTATTTACACGTGACAACAACAACAACAACATTTCCTGCTCTTACCCACCAGCAGTCCTCCCTTGAGGACCAGCACAGACATCGCACGTACACAGCATGTACCCACGGTCACTCTCAGCAACCTAACAAAACACCTAATCGCACACCCTCGCGTGGAGAGAGCCACGCTCCCCAGCGGTAACGTTTAACTCGCCCTAACCCCCACCGTGGTCGTCAACCCACAGCAACATCCACTGACCATACTCTCAGCTAGTGCAATTTCGGGGATGAGCAGCAACTCGGCCATGCTCCTCCCTTACTATCCCATCAGAGATGGACACACACCAGCCTCGTATAGTCCGATGCTTTATAGCCCAGGGAAGGTTCATCCCCCGGCAATGCCAGACCCCATGTACTCCCCCCACGGGGCAGTGTTCTCTTATAGAGACAATAACACCCTAACCCAGATCCCGTGAGCCCCCGGCACACCAGGTTCAGTCTGCCACCGCACAACTGAACCATGACTCCCCGAGCCATATGAGCACATGGCCCATTAGTTTAAGACATACCACGGAGGTTTCGCCTCCGGGCTGTCAGGTCAGCCATCAGCCATAGGCCGATGTGACCACAACTCGTGCATCACCCAATCAACAATGGCAGGCATAACAGATGGAATATTTGCCCCACCGCGGTTTTTCCCGCGCGCTCAAAATGGCGTCCCCCTTCGCCCAGCGCGTTCGCGCAATATCTCGCGCGCACTCAAAATGGCGGCCCTTTCCGCAAAGCGCATCGTCGCCATACCCCGCGTGCGCGCAAAATGGCGGCCCAACGTGCGAACACGTGGCCAGTTTTCTCCATTCGTGCACCCCAGCTTCCCTTAGCTGGGGGTCACAAGACGCATCCCCCGTCACGTTATAACAACCCCACCAACGATAGACGCACAGCCCCAGCTTGCTGCGCACAGCTGTCATATCGTGGAATTTTTAACCAATATTTTACCAACCACATTGGTTACACAACCCAACTCGCCAAGCAACTCGTGGTTGCATGCGATCAACCGAATACGCGACGCCACTTGGCGCCAATTTACGGTCCCATTAGCATTAACCTTTGAGACACCCACAACGGCGTCATCACGCACCCTCAAAGCGCGCTCTCTCTCTCAAAAAGCGCAATTACCCATAATATACACGAAATCTCGTGTGCACAACACCCATACAACCAATTTTTTAGGTCCCCCTCTATAATATACACGCAATCTCGTGTGCACAACACCAATACAACCGAATTTTAGGGTCCCCCTCTATAATATACACGCAATCTCGTGTGCACAACAACCATACAACCAATTATTTGGGTCCCCCTCGAATTTGTTACCAATTTCCAACAGATACGCACAATATAATAACAATCCCAATTCCAATAATCAACCACTGCATCGCACCCCATAACCATACAGAACAATATAACAGCACATACAATCAGCATATCGCGATCACACGCGTACATTTAAGCACAATAGCAAGCAGATCTGCAGGCAACCAACACACCATTAATCCTGTCGTAACTTTGCAGCAACAACACAATTATTCTCTCTCTTGCAACAATCGCATCGCACACAGCACCTCGCAGCACAATACACCAAAAAAATATATATATTTTTTTCCAATTAAGCCCATCACACAAGGTAACCCACAAATAATACAGCGCAAGATACCCGACGCTCCCAAGTTAATAATTAACTTCACCATCAAGATAACAACTCCACGCAGCAGCGCACACACACAATTTGACACTCAGCAAATACAGCAGACTCTCCGTCCATTCTCAACACACGCACACACTTTAATTAACACCAAGCAACAAGCAGATAGCGCATTAATCGTTATTACACACACATACACACAATCCGAACCGCGCTCCGCACAATCGAGTCATGAGAGAAAACCAAAATCGCCCCCCGGCCCTCGAAAGATGAGTGAGGTGTGTGTGTTAAGGCCGGGTGCGTATCGTTATGACTCGCCCGGGGCTGCAGCAAGAAGAGGACGGCAGGGTGGCAACTTGAGACGCCTCGCAGAACTCGTTCGGCGACTTGACGGCTCCGTTGTCACGCACCCGCCCCAGCAGCTGCAGCATCGGCGTCTTCTCCTCGCAGCACCCCCCGAAAAACAGCAGCTCACAGCAGGCTGCTCACCCCGCGGCACCTCCAGATGGCAGCGCAAGGCTGCCTCTCCGCCGCGATGTTGAAGATGGCGGCGTCCTCCCGCCGCGGTGAAGACAAGATGGCGGCTTCCCGCCGTTTCTCCCCTGCCACGCCCAAGATGGCGTCTTCGTGTCACGTGGCAATGGCGCTGGCAGCGCAGGAAAGGCAGAGGCCTGCGGATCACCACCGGGCCTCCCCGACGTCGTCCTCGGCGTGGTGAACTCGCACAGTCGCGCCAGCACGATTTTCAAGGTCCCCATCTGCATCACCATCTGTCTCCATCGTAAGTTGGCGTCCTCCGGCACAGACAGATCCACCGACGCGGCGACACCTTGCTCACCCGGACCCGTACTCGTTCCAGAACGGATCTCCTCTTCCATCGCAGGCAGCTCCACCGTCTGAGGAAGGTCGTCGTCGTCGGATGATGTAGCAGGATATTCTTTTTCTTTTTTCTTCTTTCTCTCAGTTGTTTTGAGATGCCGTTTCACTTCTGACTCCAGTGTAATAAAAAGACTCAGACACTTCTTTCTGTCTCCGTGTCCTTTATTTGGGGTTCGCGTTCTCCTTCCCACACGGCACTCCTCCTGAGACTCTCTCCCTGGCAGCCCCACATCTGCCTTCGCTCCCGTAGCCTTCCACGCTCCTGCAGCTCCGCTGCAGGCTCTTGGTGCAGCCCTCTGGCTGCTCCCCCAGCAGCTCCATCGCTGCTCCCTGTTCCTCCGTGCGTGGCGATCTCGCCACCTCCCAATGTCAGCCCTTCGTGGCCTCTATGGCTATCTCGCCATTTCCTACCTCAGCCCTTCGTGGCCTCTGTGGCTATCTCGCCACTTCCTACCTCAGCCCTTCGTGGCCTCTGTGGCTATCTCGCCATCTCCAACCTCAATCCTCCACTCTCTCTTCCACCCCGCTGGCTGGCGCCGTCATGAGCCCCTCAGCCACCAGGCTGAGGCACGGCGACCACCCAACGTGTTCACCACCCTTCACTCCCCCGACTGACCCTGATAGCTTCCTGTCTCCCTGCTATAACTTCTCCCCCACGTCACCCTGACTCCTCCCTCTCGGATCGTCATATCCGCCCCGCCCATTTACGCCCGCATTACATATGTACAAAAACTAGTCATGTGCATCTTCAGCACACCATCCTCACAATGATCTGCCTCTCTCTGTCTCATTGTTTGTATCTATCTCTATCTCTGTGTTTGGATTTATGTATTTCTGTGGCCGCTGTGCTTGTCATTGTCTGTGCCTCTGTCTGTGCATTTGCAAATCTCAGTGTCTTTCTGTGTTTGTAATTGTCCGTGTCTCTGTTTGTGTGTCTGTCTGCCACTGCAATTCTCTGTGTCTCGGTGTTGGTCTCTAGGTCTCATATTTGCCTCATCTACACAGAGCTCCATGAAGCATTGGGTCTTTTTCAACGGTTTTACTTAACTTGACACCTATGTTTGTCGTGGTCAAATCTTGTAACCAAAATTTAGTCGACTTCCTGTTGTCCAATGAATTCCAAATGTTGCACACGTACTCATTTCCGGTGACAATGCATGCCTGTATCAAAATCGGCATCAATTAATCAAGTAATTGACTCTTTTTAAGAAATTAACATCTTGTATGGACAGCTTATTAATAAAATATTAATTTGGGTAGGTCAAAAACGCCGCGGTCCCTAAACTCTGGAATCGCCTCACCCAAGAAGCAGGCGCCACGTGTCTCTTGTCATCAAGATGTCGTCCACTTCCCGTTGTTCAATCGAGTTATTTATTCTTTAGTGTACTTTAAAATGAAACCGTTGTTTTAAAAACTTTTTTAAAGGAGTTTACTTTGTATATAGACCTGGATGTAAACACTCAATACACATCAGTTTGCTTAAATATGTGTTCCTGCATAATTAAAAGTGGCTCCATATTACAGTAACTAATAATGATTAGCCAATAAAAACACTGCTGAATGTCTTGCTCGTTATTATACGGACTGTGCTGTCGTACATTAATTGATGTTTTTCTTTCAGGATCTATAACTCGTACTGTGCATCTATTAACAACGTTAAAAATGGGTCGTTGAGCCAAATTAATCCGTCCTATTATAACTCAAATCCATATCAATATTACTCTTCGGAAAATCAGCTCATCGTCAGATTTAACAAAGGGTGCTCAAATCATTCAAGTTATATTATTGGGAACTTCACTGCTATAAACCCAAGTAAGTACTTGAGTGTCAGATGTTTGTGAATACAGTATATTCAAATATTTCATCGGCAAAAAAAATCAGCATGCATTGGTATGTCAAGATGGCATCTCCATGCTGCACACAAAGGGTTTCCGCCTGTCTGGTTTGACTCCTACAATCCGGGGAATTTACATATGTGCTCGGGTAGCAGGAATTTATTTTGTACTAAAATCTAATACTGGTGTAGTGCATTCAACTGAGTCGCAGACGTAGCCTTGGAGGCAACACATTTATTTAACTCCAACACACGGGGTAACTTCCCCTTCACAGAATAACAACCTATGGTGGTGACCACCAGGCTAACTACACTAATTACAGTGTAACTGCTACTACGGACCGGGACCACAGCTCGGGTCCAGGTCCACGTGTTTGAGACTCGTTGAACGTAGAACGTAGACGAAGGTTTCTTCCAGGATGAACAACAACTACCCTGGTCCCTCTCGGGACCCGGCTCATATTCTCTGCGGCGTGGCTGGCTCCGCTCTTGGCCACGACCACCTGCCAGAATCCTCGGGAAGGATCTGGATCCCAACCACGTGACCCCCCCCCTAGCCCCCACTTGGGGCCCCTTTGTAGACTTAACTGGTCACGTGTCCTCTTGGGTCAACCAGAGTGCCATGGCCTTTAGTAACCTCATTCCTACGGCCGGCACTCCCCCACCTTGTCCTGTAGGGCTGGCACTGCACGCCAAGCGTGTTGCTATCTAGCGCGATCAATCAGCACTCACCGGGCCCCTCTAGGGCTGGTACTACACCCACACCACGTGGTGTCCGCGATGTCGCTACACCGCACGCCGTGCCTCTCTAGGGCCGGCACTGCACAGTGACATCCCGCGATGTCACCATATCGGTACTGTGAACTTTATGATAATTTATTGCATAGTGATTATAAACGTTGGCCGAAAAGGTGGCAACCCTATGCACAGCTCAAAAGAGTTGAGATTATGGTATTTCTTGAATTAGGTTATTTTGCCAATAGGCTGGTGCCAAATTGTCCCCACAGTGCAGGGATGAGGCTGCTCAACATTAAGCCCCTCCAGCGCTAATGACAACAGTAGGCATTGGGTGGGCATATGAGTGGTGTTCAGAGGACATTGGGCGCAACAAACTTGACATGGAGCTGGTTTAATTGTCAATTTATAATTGCAATCTGGTGGAAATTGCAATAATAGGGCATCACCAGACGAGAGTGCGGTCTAGTGATGAAACCAGGACGGATTTCTCAGTCAACCTAGGTCTATGAAAACTATGCAGAATGTATGGACTAAAGTTCAACAAAATACCACCTCATCTTGGTACAAATCAATTCGTCACCCTGAACACAGATGCCAGTTCATAGACTGTCCAAAAAGGTTACACCAGACCAGTTTTTTTTTTATGGGGAGCAGTAGCATTGATTGCCTGCACAAACGAAGCTACTGCATTAATCAAGTTCACCTATTCAGTCAAACCACCTGCATGTGTTGTCTGGAACTAGGGAAGTAAAGGTATAGCCACGAGCTGCCACCTAAATTTAAAATGAAAATCTTTTTTGAATGTCAAGCATGATAAATGTGCGTGTGCTCATGTGAATGCCACTGAATATGGAATATACATGGGATCGCACACCGATATACAACAACAGCCACTTTCTTGGTTCTTTCGGTAAAGTCACGTAGAAGGGAAATAATAAAATAAAACATAATAAAACAATTCTCACGACGTTTCGGCTACAACGCAAGCAGCCGTCCTCAGGTGAAAACCAGGTCTGTCGAGGCGACAGCGTCTGAATGAAACAGCACACGTGCTTGGAGCATATATATAAGCTGGGTTGGAAGTGGGGAAAAAGGGCGCCTTGACAAAAGAATATGCATATCAAGAGGAATTTAGCATATTTATGGGAAATGCAGGTATGTGATTAGTACTACTTATGCCCGTGCATTATTCAGGATTAGCAGCATCAAAGGGAGGGGATATGGGAAATGCAGGTATGTGATTAGTACTACTTATGCCCGTGCATTATGCAGGATTAGCAGCATCAAAGGGAAGGGATAGGGGTAGCATTAAGTAGTACTAATCACATACCTGCATTTCCCATAAATATGCATATTCTTTTGTCAAGGCGCCCTTTTTCCCCCCTTCCAACCCAGCTTATATATATGCTCCAAGCACGTGTGCTGTTTCATCCAGACGCTGTCGCCTCGACAGACCTGGTTTTCATCTGAGGACGGCTGCTTGCGTTGTAGCCGAAACGTCGTGAGAATAGTTTTATGTTTTATTTTTATTATTTTATTACTTCCCTTCTACGTGACTTTACCGAAAGAACCAAGAAGATGAATCCCAGCAGTCATGAAAGCTTTAAATCGAAATTTAACAGCCACTTTGCTCTTATTTTATTTTTGAGTTCTGTTTTATTTCACCTGCGTAGTGAAATATGGCAAAACAACCCCCATAACCGACAGCAGTGTAATGACATAGGGGCTGTAATGTTTTTATTTTATTTGTTATTTATTGGTGATATTTACAATCATGGAAATTTCACGTGTTTAATGTTGGAGGCCACATTTTTCATAGGACACCACTGATGTTTTTTCCCAGAAAGTGGTACTGATTTTATTGACCCCAGATGGATGATGGACGACTATACCACTACCAGGATGTGAACACGCAACTTTATGATTAAGTGCTATTCAAAGTGCCCTTCCTTGCAATTAACACAGCTTACATAAATATATGTGCGTAGCAACAATTCAATATCGTAGCCTTTGAACTTTGAAGACTTGTCTATATCCTGCCTAAAACATATTTCCTCCTAATTAGATGAGATATTTGGATGTGGAGGGATTTTGAACAACACCTATGGATGGATATCTTCCCCAAACTACCCAAATGACTACAGCTACAATCTGCATTGCGAGTGGAGATTCGAGGCACCAGATGACGCAGAAATTTACGTGACTTTCTACATAACTGAGTAAGTACTGGTGGATCATGGTTACATCATTCAAAGAAATTCAGGAGTGTGCAAAGCATGCATTGATATGCACGCAATGATATTTTTATTTCTTTAATCAAAATGTTTTCCTGGAAGAAAAAAAACCTGAGATGGAACGCTTTGTATGACAGAGGTAACTAGGATACACATTGCATCAGAATCAGTCAAAACTATTTTAATTTCTAAATTGTTGATTACTTCTGCCATATAAAACTTGGCCAAGATTAATTTGATCTCTAACAAAGTGTTTCTCGTGAGAATGCTCTGAAACGCGTGTGACATCATTCCAGTCAGACAGCTGTGGGATCCAAGTAGACTCAGACCACTAAGCAAATCATTAATCACGAGATAATTTTAGCCAATCACAGAACCAAGTCACCTCATCAATACCAACTAAATAATAATAATGAAGTCCTTTATAAACAGGTGAGAGTACATACTGGATCGATATACAAGTCTACATACACATTGAAAAATGCAACATTGCCCGATGGCAAATCGCCCGATGATGCTGGATGTAATTATCAGCGAAATGTATTCAAATTGTAATTGTTGTGGATTTACTCTCCCAACACACCGATGGGCTGAAGTAGTAACTAATTGGCACGTTTTGTTTATGTGACAAACATTACTGGCTGTGTCGGGTGGTGGAGGGTAACGACACATTTATACTTACGCGATCTAACCCAACAACCTTTATTGTGAATAATGTTGGTCGCAAAAGGCCGACGTGTTTAAATGGTTTCGGTGTTTGGGCTGTTTTTAAAGCAGCACTGTTTCTGGCTGTCCACATTCCAATATCATTTCAAGACATCTGTTTTAAGCACTTAGTGGCATTATTGTTGAAAGTCACTAATTACCTGTATATGATGATAACCCTATTTTACCCACAGCATTGAGGAATCCGATGGATGCACCGCAGACAGTCTCCAGATTTACAATGAAAGCACCACGGTGTCCGACAGGCTTTGCGGGACCTATGTATACAGGAGAGTCACATTGACTGCACCAGCGAGGATTGTGTTCACGTCTGACGGGCAAAACGAAGGTCGTGGGTTTGAAATGTACTACAGAGGTATGGTCCAAGTTCCTCTGCGTACAATCACGACCTAGTCGAATATGCATTGCTTTTCATGTGTGTGTGTGTTGTATGTATATGATGAGTGTAGGCAAACCGTCAGACCTGTAATTGTGGCCGTTTCATGAAGCATAACATGCTGACCTTGTTTTGAGTGTTGCTGCGATGATCACGAGGCTGGATTTTCAAATTGGCTTATGTAGATGAACAATCCAAACAGAGGTGGTTAGGTGGCTCAACTGATTCCACTGAAATCTTCTTCAAATCTGTGGTGAAACCAGATTCTCTAATGGAATGAATTGTTAAATGTATCGTGACTGCATAAAAGGATCACCATATGTTGTTGGAAGAAAGAGTCATACTTGAGTGATTCCCAATGTTTGCAAACATCACCTATTGGAGATGTTCCCTGAAATGGTGTGGTACCCTGCAATTACATTTCCCAGATGGAAGTTTCCATCTCTTGCGTCATGATGCCAAGAACATAGTGGCATTATAATTATGGATAAATGAAACATAAATTACAGCTAACCGCGGGACCGAGCAGGCATTACTGCAGAGACATGTGAAAGTGCAGCATAGGGTAGGAGGTTGATGTCCCCTTCCCATTATTCGTAAATGTGTATGTGTGCTGGCCTCAAACGGCCCTTGCATGCCATGCCGAGATCATGCAGACCAAATGGGGTAGAGTTGGGTGAAGTTTTGTCTCTGTGCATGTATGTCCACTTCTGAAACGTGTGTAATGTGCACCGTGCCGTGGTCCCAGAAACGTCGGTTCCATTCAGACATTGCACATCAGCGGCAGGTGGTATCTGAACCTATACATGAGTACTTGGTGCAGTGTGTAAATATTAGCATTTGGATGACACCATCTAAGAGAGACGGGGAGTGTAATTCTGTCGTGACCCATACACATTTCCTCTATTTTATGCAGCTGAGAGCCTATTGAGACGAACCGTCCCTTTGCATGGGAGACCTGTGTGACAATTCAATACTATGCAACATGTGAACAAATGGCAAATACATCTGATATTATAATAATATCAACCTTTTCCACAATGTTAAACACAAAACACATTCCTGCGGAGAGAGCTGGTAGGAACGTTCGGTTGCTCGGCGTAGTGTATTCCTCAAATATGGCCGAATGTGAGGGCGGGCACAAGCCGGCGTGAGTAGGTTAAACGTTGAGTTTTATAAGGGCACCACGGGGTGACCAGCCCCTCCCCACCCAGCCCCTCCCCACCCTCCCCTCCCCACCCAGCCCCTCCCCACCCTCCCCACCCAGCCCCTCCCCACCCTCCCCTCTCCACCCAGCCCCACCCCTCTCATTTTTGGATGCACGACGGACGGACACAATAATCCCCTGTGGGCTGGTGTAACAAGAAGGTTCCTACCAGTATAACAATACATTGACAATCATGCAGAATACATTCGGCAAAATACAACTGAATTTTCTGCAAGATATATTTTTTTCTTGATGGGTACTCCTAGGAAGTAATTCAATGGTATTCAAAGGAATTCAGTAGTTATCACTTTTAGGGAGTTCATTCACCTTACAGCAATCTGAGGAATTGAAAGTGATTGGTTTTTTAAATTCAGGAAAATTACACTGTGGCATTTTGGTCATCGTAATACAATACAACTGCAGACTATTTAGCACAATAATGAGGAAAGTGTAACCATTGAACAAGTATAACCCGTAAAAACAAAGTTTTTCACTATAAATCCTTTATATGCGTGGCGGCTAGAGTCCTCTCGTCCTCTGGCTTGAGATGGCTGCCACCTATGGGTCAGATGATTGCATTGCACCATTAAGCAATTGGTAATTAAATATAATATTTTTGTCCTAAAAAGTGTAAAATTTTGGAAAAAAAAATTCACAGACATTAATTGTCACGCACAACGAGTCTGTGTGGAAAATGTCAGCTCGATTGGATCACGGGAAGTGGGTTAAAAAACGACCGAAAGATTTGCACGGTCGTAAGCAAGCAAGCGAACTTAATATAAAGGATTTAAAAAGTAACAGTTTTTGACGGTTGTGGCGCATGAGGCAAAGATGACGCTACATGATGACACGTACCAGGACGTTGCTCGCATATAATATAATCAATGGGCCCAGGTAAGATGGGCTATGCCCATCTATGATATGATTTAAAAATGGTGCTCGTGCAGCTTATTGCAAATGGTAGAACTGACGAGCAGTGCCAGAGCTGATTGGCTAAATTGACGTTATTTCATCAATGGTAATGTTTTTTTTATATAAACTGCACAGACTTTCAAATTACACCTCATCGAAATTACTGAAATTATTCAAACATAAATTATCCACATAGTAATTCGTTAAAAAACAATTACAGTTCAGACAGTGATCCAGGTTTTATTTCTGGTCATGCATAGCACTAGTGAGCACCCGGCTAGGGAGTAGAATACACTGTTCTAGAATTAGTAGGTTTTCACTAACATTGCTTGTTTCATCAAAATCATTTCAGATACATGTGAGATTTGTGTGTGTGTGTATGTACATGTCACATGTGACATTGTGTAATATAAGCATGATTATGTGGACGTTCAGTGTATATGTATGATCATTAGATTCCTCCGGTCAAAATAAAGATTCTGATACGTACGTTGAAAGAAGCAAATAGCTTATCTCAACCATATATGGAACTAGATTCATAGTCTTATGTTTTGTTCTCTTCGTCATCAGTTTCCGTGCCATGTGGGGGGAACATGTCTGGGTGGCAAGGTTCAATTTCGACCCCGTATAATGGTGGTGTGTACAACCAGTACTGTGTCTGGACAATAGACACGCCACCCAACACCATCATCAAGCTTTCCTTCCAACAATTCAGGTAATAATTGTATAACATTCCTTGTAAATATTTTGTGTGTGTGTGTTTTTAAAGATTATTGCAAAGTTTTGCTTAAGATTTTAAGCTGTGGCGGGTGAATTAGGTAGCTTGAGTGCCCAGAGAAAACTCACATTATGGGATATAAACAAAGTTGTTATTGACTTTCGATTTAAAGCTTTCGTGACTGCAGGGATTCATCTTCTTGGTTCTTTCAGTAAAGTCACGTAGAAGGGAAATAATACAATAATTTATTATGTTTTATTTTTATTATAATAATATATTTTATTATGTTTTATTTTTATCATTTTTTAATTTCCCTTCTACGTGACTTTACCGAAAGAACCAAGAAGATGAATCCCTGCAGTCACGAAAGCTTTAAATCGAAATAAACAAAGTTGTTATTGACTTTCGATTTAAAGCTTTCATGACTGCAGGGATTCATCTTCTTGGTTCTTTCGGTAAAGTCACGTAGAAAGGAAATAATAAAATAATAAAAATAAAACATAATAAAATGATTCTCAGGACGTTTCGGCCACAACGCAAGCAGCCGTCCTCAGGTGAAGAACAGGTCTGTCGGAAAGACAGCGTCTTTATTTTATTATGTTTTATTTTTGTTATTTTATTATTTCCCTTCTACGTGACTTTACCGAAAGAACCACGAAGGTTGTTGTTATTGACTCTTCTTTCTTGTTGTTGTCTGCAGCATTCCATACGAGTACAAAATTGACATTTACGATGGAGCAACTCAGGAGGCTCCTTACCTTGGCCGATTCAGTGGAGACATTGTTCCACCTCCAATTCTGTCCACGGGGAATTCTCTCTACCTCTATTTTTACAGCCCGAGTAGCTACTACTATCCAACATTCAATATCTTCTATGAAGGTACGACTAAGGCAATACTTTTGCTGAACCTATTGAACTATGGTTAAATCGAGCGTGAAGTATAGGACCAAGAACCGATCCTTTTATATAGAAGAGCTCTGCAATGATTACATCAGGGATAATTTTCTCAGAAGCTGATACGACATAATCTACTTCAGTAGCTGTCTCTTTCGTGGGTTTCCCACAATATAAATGCTAGAAAGCAACACATACATGGTGCCTTGCCTGTTCTTCAGCTGTCTGGGAAAATGACAAGGATATATCTATATATCCTCAACAGACTATATCTTGTTTGGTTATATGGTTGTTGTTTCCGGAGAGTTTAAGCTCATGTTTGAGTGTATTTTGTGAGGACTCAAACGATTAGGAGAGTCTCGTTTAGTGAGAATGACCTTGGTCACCAAAATAAGCAATAGCATGAACAAAATACAACAATCATAGGAGTTTTTCTTAGGTTAGATCGCGTAAATATATAAATGTGTCGTTAAAACCCACCACCACCCGACAGCCAACTAGGAAGGTTTGTCACGTAAACAGAACGTGGCCAATTCGTCACTAGTACAGTACACCGGTGTGTTGGAGAGCCAAGCCACACCGGTGTGCTGTACTAGTGACGAATTGGCACGTTCTGGAATTCAATCGTGCAAACGATTGTTAAATGATTAGCATGTAGCAGGCCACTCTTTTAAGAATATGCTAAAGAAAAGTGTTTTGGTTTTGTCATCTTCCATGGCCATTTCATGCCACAATGTGAAGTTATGCTCTCTGTATGACACCTGCAAAGCCACATTGGGAGTTGGGGCAACATTTGTAACAACATTTTTAACTTATGTTAGAATCTTTTTTTAAAGTTAAAAGTCGGAGTGTGATTCTAATAACATGATGGTTGACTAAGCACATGCTCACTGTTTTCATATCACCCGCTGTGTGGATAAAACAGCGATGAAGATCGAAACGGTTGCCGTGCTGCAGTCTCCCGGGAGAATCTCGTCCGGTGGCGTGACCCCGTTCTACAACGACACCTTGTTCTTCGTGTGGGAAGTGAACGCCGGCCCAGGCCTCAACGTCAAACTCAATTTCTCATTGCTTAGGTGAGGCATACATTCTGTCTGAGACGCACATTTATGCGGGTGTTGACTTTCCTATCCCTTTCATCAACCAGCTCTGACCAGCATGGAGAAGTATGGCCAAACAGCCCCCATGACCAACGTGGTTAGGCCTTCGTCCAGGAGTTGATTGACAAAGGGCTGTACATTTGTGAATTTCAGCACTTGAGAAAAATGTGGCCAATAGTATAAGAAGGATTAACAGCATTGGGGATGTTGTCGTGTGGTGTAGCGGTTCGTGCCCTGTGCTACGAACTTGGCGACCCAGGTTCGAGTCCCGCTCACGGGCAGCACCAGTGACGATTATCTGGACCGGTCCTAGGCATCCCCTAGGTCGACTCAGCCTCAAATGAGTGCCTGGTGCGGTGTGTAAACATCGTCGCCGGGGAGACAAAGGCGGCCGGACGTGGTGTTGGCCACCTCGTGTGCTGTGCCGGCCTTCATAGGTGATCGCTAACAGCACTTGCCCCAACAGTCTGTTAAGGCTACACAGGGGATCTTTGTTTTTGTCTTTTTGTGTGTGTGTTTAGACTGGAGGACGACCCCCTGTGTCTCAATGAGAGCCTCACCGTCTATGACGGGTGGAGGTCTCCAAACACCAGCCTTGGCTCCTTCTGTGGGTCCAGGCTGCCCCCATCCGTGCGATCGACATCTTCTAGCCTCCAGCTGCTCCTCCGCCTCCGAAACAATCAGCCCTGTGCGTGGGAAGCCCAGCCAATGTTGTCATCTTCCAACTTCTTCTCTACCTCATGTATTTTCATCTCATCCAATTTCTCATTTTCCTCCACATCTCATCTCCACCTTTGTCTCACCTCTCCTTCCACATCGCTGCAAACCAACTCGTAGCCTTTTGACTTTGAGTCACGCATGCTGATATAGCACCACCTGGGTAAGCTAGTTTTCAAGTATGAAATAATACGCAGTCAATTAGTAGGCTACACCATGGAAGCGAATGCCTGTTGTACCACTTTCTAAGATAGAAATCGCATGCTGGTTCAGTTTGTCAATTTTTTTCGTGTAAATCCCAACCTTTTGTTTATAAAAAGTGTCTGTGCTTATTGAGACTGAGAATGTGAATGTAAAAAAAAATCATCTCACTTTACGTTCCTGCCCGCTGTCTGTATGTTAATGCTTTGCTGACTCTTTCTGTTCCCCCTCCTCCATGCGCACAGCCTCGGCTTCACTCGTTCCCTCTCCTCGCCCCCCTTCACCGGAATCAACTGCCCTTTCCACCTTCCGCTCTTCTCTTAAAACTCAATTATAATTGTCTCGTGCCCACCCCTCCTTCCCTATCCCGATCTCCCCATGGTCGCTCACCCATCATCGATCCACTCATCTCATTACCATCTTCCTTTATTCCACGCATCGTCGTCACCACCACCTCATTTTACATATATCCCATCCACTCATCTTGCTTCATCTTGTCAACCATCTTGTATTATAGTTATATCACTGTACAGTGCCTTGGTTGAGGCGCTATATACATGTTAGATAAGATCATATTAATTAATGTGCGTCAACTTAAAGGGTAGTTTCCAATGAACGTCACTTTTGATACAAAGTGACGCTCATTGGAAGAGTGGAAGGATATTAACACACTAAGTTTAGCGTGGAACAATGGACGAGCTCTTTCCCCTCTCACAGATATTTGAGGGGTCATGGGAGTATGCTTCTCCAGTCTACCTCTGCTTTGTAGACTTGGAGAAGGCATATGACCATGTTCCCCACAATGTCTTGTGGGAGGTGCTGCGGGAGTATGATGTACCGGTGCCGCTTTTGTGCGTTAACCGGTCCCTCTATTCCCAGAGTGAGAGGTGTGTCCGTATTCTTGGTGTTAAATCAAAGTCGTTCACTGTGGGTGTTGAACTAGGCCAAGGGTGCGTCTTGTCTCCACTCCTGTTTGTGATTGTCATTAACAGGATATCAAGGCGCAGCCTAGGTATGGAGAGTATCCAGTACAGGGGCAATGGAGGTGACGTCGCTGCTTTTTCAGACGACGTTGTCTTCTTTGCCTCGCCAGTCTGTGATCTCCAGCTTGCACTTGAACGATTTGATGCCGAGTGCGAAGCGACTGGGATGAGGATTAGCACCTCCAAATTTGAGGTCATGGTTCACTCCCAGCAGATGGTAGAGTGTGCTCTCCAGGTGAGGGGGAAGAGCTGCCCTTAGTGGAGGAGTTTAAGTACCTCAGGGTCTCTTTCATGAGTGATGGTAGGTGGGAGTGGGAGATCGGGCGGCGGATCAGTGCGGCGTCCGCAATGATGCGGGCGCTGTACCGTTCCGTGGAAGTGAAGCGGGAGCTGAGTTCTCTAACAAAGCTCTCGGTTTACAGGTCGATCTGCATTCCCACCCTCACATATGGTCATGAGCTTTGGGTAATGACCGAAAGGATGAGATCGCGGGTACAAAAAGCCAAAATGAGGTTTCTTTGCAAGGTTGCTGGGTTCACTCTCCGTGATTGGGTGAGGAGCTTGTTTATCCGGAAGAGCCTTCGAGTCGAGCCGCTGCTCTTCCGGATCGAGAGGAGCCAGTTGAGGTGGTTTGGGCATCTGGTAAGGAGGACCCCCAGTAGACTCCCCCTGGAACTCTACCTGAAGACCGAAGACCCCGGGACTGGCCCAGGACACGCTGGTGGGACTTTGTCGCCCGGCTGGCCTTGGAACGCCTGGGAATTCCTCAGAAAGAGCTTGAGTCCGTTGCCAAGGAAAGGGAAGTCTGGACAGCTCTGCTCAACATGGTGCCGCCACAAACCCCCTCCATGACAAGCGGATTGAAAAAGGAATGAATGATGCTTCTTAGTCATGTTAAAGCTCCCTATTTTTTGTTGCAGGGAAAGGGTTCGACCTGAGCTTTCTTGAAACTTCGCAGGTGCCATCTATGAAAGGTCAGTGGTGAATTCATTACCAAGATGGAAATTATAATGCTATTGCAATATGATGTTAAGTTATCGATTAGACACAACTGAGGTTGAATGGCAGTGAATGACGGTGAAAATGTGAACAATTTATGAGTTTGGCAGAATTACGATTCTCATGACACTCGTCCCTTGGAGCTCATTTGCTGTCTTGTTCTCCCTGTGCGTGCCCAGGATGCGGCGTCCAATACTCTGCGGGTGGTAGGGACCGCATTGTTGGGGGGACGCCCGCCACGAGTGGCAAGTGGCCCTGGCAGGCAAGCCTCCGCAATTACGGGAGCCACGTGTGTGGCGCCAGTCTCATATCCGAGCGCTGGCTCGTAGCGGCTGCTCACTGCTTCATGTGAGTTGTCTCGACCTCACTGTGCGCTGCGTTGCACCACTATCCGAGTAGATAAACTCGCATTCAATAAACCTTCAGAGCCAGGGTGAACATCTGACTCCAAACGTATAACATGAATTGAACTAGGTAAAACTGATGGAAAAACACAGCACAAAATACAACATCTGTTAATACTGAATAGCTATACAAGAGAATAAGCTACTGTGTTAAATAAGGGCACATCGTGTAATCACCATACTGCAGCCTAAATGTACAGCACTGCACATAATACTGAACTGTGGATGAGATATTTCATCATCCTTGCTCTCAAGATCGCAATAATGTTACATGGGTACAAGTCTGACTCGACTTATTCAATTACAAGTAATATTCCCAATAATGCAAGTGGCAGGCTTCATTGTTAGCTAGGCCTCATATGTATCATAACAATTTAACAGCATTATAAAGGCATTTACCGCATTATAACAGCCATTATAACATTATAACAACATCCCCAGTATTATAAGAACATAAACGAACTTACAGACAATGCTTCTTAAAGTTCCACAATGAACCTGTCTTCACTGAGACGCTATTTGTGCCTCCATTTTGTTCTCTGTGTAATGGCTGACACCCTGCCGCGTGGCTTAGAGAATGTCAAATCGTAACTTCCTGGTCACGTGACCAAACTCAACATCAATACAGGAAATTCCTGTGTACGCACACACCCACACCTGCCGTGAGGCAGAACATTCGTCCTGCTGCATCGTCGGGGCAGGGCTTCTTTCGTTGTCGAAAAAAATTACAGGAAGCATTGAGACATTTGCTAAATAAATGCACAACATGGACCCCCAAAGCGTTATGGAACCACAGAGCCATTTCTCACTGTCAGTGAATGTCAAAACTGAAATATCGACACATTTATATTTACGCGATCTAACCCAAAAAAAACCTTTGTTATGGATGATATTGGTTGCGAAATCCTACGTGTTAAACCAAAACTGAAACAAGTTCCTTTAAATTAAATTGAAACATAACTGAAAATATTTTGAATTCTAAGCTGCTGAAGTTAAGGAGTTATTTGTAAGGAATTATATTGGGACCAGGTTGAGATAATTAACTTTGCTACACTTGGCGGCTCGCGACAGAACTCTGCATCGGGCCGCGTCCACATCACCACGTGTCAATGTGGCGTCCCCCTAACAGGTACAACAGCGACGTCTACGAGTGGCAGGTGTACCTGGGCATCACGTACATCTACGACAGCGCTAACGCAGTGATAGTGAACGTGGCTCAGATCATCACTCACGAGCGTTTCAACATCAGCACCATTGACTACGACATTGCCCTGGTGCAGCTGAGTGACCCCGTCTCTTTCAACCACCGCGTCTCACCGATCTGCCTGCCACCGAGCACCAGCCATTTCCCACAGCCCGGCAAGACCTGCTTCATCTCGGGCTGGGGACGGACATCATTGGCCGGTGAGGCAAGCAAGGCCGGGTTTGACTGGTTTAGAGATGTGTATGCAGGTCGAGTGTTTTTTGGTCCCAAAAGGTTAAAATTCGAGAGTGTAGGTCTGATTAACAAAAAGCCCTGGTGCTTATTGGGGCCTCTTGGTATTGGGCGTTCTTATTGGCAACGTTAGGTCACTGAGGGCGTGGACAAGGTACTGGTTGGCTTGTTGCATCGCAGGACCATGAAGGATGGCCTTCATTCAGCAGTGGATTAATCATGGCTGATGATGGAAGGTTGTGGGATATCTTGTATCTCATTGCCTGTGACTCGTCTGTTGCAGAGAGCGGCATACACTATGACCTCCTGGAAGCTCCCATGCAGATCTTCAGCCATGAAGCCTGCTCGTCGAACCTGATGAACGGGGACTTAATCACGACACGCATGATCTGCATCGGACACCCTGCCGGTGCAATAAGCTCCTGCCAGGTATGAATTTCACAGCAGCCAATAAGGCACTGATTCAAATGTTTCTTCTTGAGGTGCCTTTGTTATTAACATTGGTTTTCCAAAAGTGTTCCATGCTGCCCTTTGTTGCTTTATATCTTTTTTTTTTTATCTCAGACTGCTTTCAATAATTGGTCTTTAGTACACAGACTCTGATGCTTTTCCAGTTGTGCTCCTCCCACAGACTTGCTTCGTGAACTGTTGCAGGACTTTTGTTTTGCTCGCATTTATCGAGCTAAACTTTGTGGCCTTTATTTTTCTTCTATCACTTCCCATAGTATATTCACATCAAAATGCTCTGATGACCATTTTCAAAACAAAAGCTGACAAGCATGCAAATAAAAACAGAGAGATCAGTGCTCGATATTACGTTGCGCAACAAAAGAAAACATAAGCAGATAAAAAACGCAAGTGTGACTCTCACTAAAAAGTAAGCGGTCTTGGACGTCACTAGAAGTGGTAATTTCCAGTGGTCGAGACTAATGACAGAGTGGAAGGAAGCCAAAGGAGGGAACACGCCCTAGAGGGGCCGTCCACCACAGGAACCGAGTTGTTAAGATTGTTACATCGCAGGGAGAGGGCGATGTCTTCGTACACGGTTGATGATGATGGGCAATGAAAAGACAGCGTCGTGCATTATTTGTGACAGCCCGTTAGACATAATATAGGTTGTGGTTATATATGGTTTTGTCGACAAGCAAAACTAAGGAAATCATGGTAGATTGCAGATCAGTGATGGTTAAACGTTAAACCTTGAGATCTCTGGTTATTTCTTATAGGTGAGGAAATTTAATAATATCATTAATTGTATGTGCGGAATGGAAGATGTTCACACCAAATCAAACATTATTTTCCAACAATGTATTTGTAGTGGTGCAGGAGCACAAATAAAAAACAACATCGACACATTCGTCAATAACACTACCTTAACAGAATGTATAATAGGTGACGTTTCAGGCAATGGCCCTTATTCATATATGAAAGAACATTTGAGGTCCGTTCACACACCCACGAATGTATAACCAGGTGAGAGTCCACGGAGGTCTCTGTTCGTTACAAACGACTCGGGCCACAGGACAATGAACAAACACTCCTCAAAAAAGTCAACAAGATGAGAACAAATGAACCAAAGACTTATGTCTGACACGAAGCGCCAATGGGTACTGAGACGCGCGGGCATTTACTCCGTGACGCTTTGCGATATATCGACGCCCGATCGCTGTCTCTGCGGCTGCAGGGAGACTCGGGGGGCCCCCTCGCCTGCCAGGGCACAGACAAGGCCTGGTATCTGAGCGGTGTCACCAGCTGGGGCTTTGGCTGCGCTCTCCCCATGAAACCCGCCGTCTATACCAAGACCAGCAAGTTCCTGCCGTGGATCAAGCGGTACACAGACCTGCCCTGAGGACGGATGAACGATGCACACGGGCGGTAGTTCTACAATGTTCATTGCTCGTCAGGGCCACCAGATGGCGCTCTAGACGAGTGGTTTGCCGCTTGCGTTTGAATTTAATTTTAACAAGCCCCAAAGTTACTGTACGTGATATCTCAGCAAAGTTCGAAAAACGTCATGTTTTGAGGCTCAAAGCTCATCATTGCTAACTTGACTTTGTGTTTCCCAATCTGAAATCAGTTTCTTTTCGTACATCGTTGGGTTAAGGAAAATAAGCGAAATTATTCGATCAGGGAAGTATATTTTACTTTGATTTAGGGAAAATAGATCTTTTTTTTAGACAGATATGTTTTAACTGTCTTGGGTGTATTTGTCATAACTGGAAAAGGAAATAAATATGTTGCTTTGCACGTTTACCGTTGTACTTATTTCCTGTTCAAGTACTGATATGTCATTCATTTGCCGAAGTGTTCTAATGGTTGCACCGGTTTCACCTCCAGCTACTTAACACCAGGCCCGCAATTAAACATACACAAAGTTTTAGGCAGGCATGATTATTGTGGTATAACGATAAGACAAAGCTCCCCCCTTGTTGGGGTAAGTGCTGTTAGCGAGCACCGATGAAGACCAGCATGGCGATGTTTACACACCACACCAGGTACTCATTGAAGGCTGAGTCGACCTAGGGAAGGCCCAGGACCAATTCAGATAATAGTCGCTGCTGTCGGCCGTGAGCGGGAATCGAACTCGAGTCCCCGGGTTCGTAGCGCTGCGCGCCAACCGCTATACCACCGTTCCCCCACAGCCCACATACTGTCACACCAGGATGGCGATTGCACAACATGGAAAGAGCTGGAGAGCAGAAACTGAAAAGGAAATAGTTGACACGGGGATGCGTGCAGAGAAGCAGAGGAGAGCAAAGGGGGATGGGGGGCGCTCAGGAGAGAGAGTTTGTGAGAGGAGCAGTAGGGACGGGGAAGAGGAGTTGTGGAGGAGCCAAGGAGAGACGTTTAGGATAGGATCTGGGGCCAGCTGACCACGTGGGTTGCCGCCATAGTTCACGTTGACGAGCATTCGCAGCAATTCAAATGGAGCGGTGCCGCATAATTGCTTGAGGCCGACCTAAATGATCGGCTTGGCCAAATGGGAGCATGGGAGGAAACCGGAGAACTCGCAAGAAACTCTTGCAGAATTTTTGGAAGAAAAAAAATTCCCGGAATCAAACCCAGGGCGTTCTGCCCGTGAGGTCCATTCGTCCAGCGTTATCCTCGTCATTTGCTGGCGGACCTTCATGGTCCGCTCCCGGCACAGAATCGGAGGGAAACGCGGCAGAAAATGTTTCAGAAGGCGCAAGAACCCGTAAAGTACGCGCATTTATTCCCTGGCGTCGGCATTGTGCAGTTTGCGCAGTTTGCGCAGTTTGCGCAGTTTGCGCAGTTAGCGCAGTTTGCGCAGTTTGCGCAGTTTTCGAAGTTGCGCAGTTTGTGCAGTTTGCGCAGTTTGCGAAGTTTGCACAGTTTGCGCAGTTTGCGGAGTTTGCGCAGTTTGCGCAGTTTGCGGAGATTGCGGAGTTTGCGGAGTTTGCGCAGTTTGCGGAGTTTGCGCGGTTTGCGAAGTGGCGCAGTTTGTGCAGTTTGCGCAGTTTGTGCAGTTTGCTCAGTTTGCGAAGTTGCGCAGTTTGTGCAGTTCGCGCAGTTTGCGATGTTTGCGCAGTTTGCGGAGTTTGCGCAGTTTGCGAAGTTGCGCAGTTTGTGCAGTTTGCGCAGTTTGCGATGTTTGCGCAGTTTGCGCAGTTTAGCGCAGTTTGCGAAGTTTGCGCAGTTTGCGGAGTTTGCGGAGTTTGCTGAGTTTGCGCAGTTTGCGCAGTTTGCGCAGTTTGCGGAGTTGGTGGAAGGACCCCCACTAGAGGGAGCTCTAGAAGGTGCTGGCCAGACGTCTTGGGAGAAGTGGCAGATGCCGGCGATGCAAGTTGCGGAAGGTGAGCGAGGAGCGAGGCTGAGTGAATATGTGCTGAACGCATTAATTTTAAAAAGCAGGCCGTCGGTCTCAATGAGTTGTGGCGTGGTTACAAATAAATGGTGATATCTCAACCAGTTCCCCCCCCCCCGCTCACCAGCGCGATTGAGTATCGACACGGAGATATAGCGATACGATCAGATCGTGCACAGCAGCGAGATGGACCACGAATCAGTGGGCTGGAAGAATACGATGAAGCTCTTTTTTAAAGATGTCCATGAGTCGTGGCGTCGGCGTGGGGAGGCCTTCATCCAGCAGTGGGTAGACCATGGCTGATGATAATGATGACGTTTCAGTGACTACTCACATGACGATAAGATACGAGCTGCGTTATGTCCAGTTCTCTCGTTTCCTCGCAACATGATGCCAAACACTCGCCTACTGGAATGAGCCAAACATCCCAATGCAGGACCCTCTTGAGAACGCGTGTTGAGGCTCACGCCGAGGCTGTACTGGTTAAATATAGAAAAACAATTGCAATACAATTAGAGTGAAAAAGTACTAACAGTTCTCGATTAAACTTTATACCGTATGTAATTATGCAAATATCCAGACAGCTCAGTGACAGAGCAAGCGGCTCACAATCTGGTGGCGAGATGTTTACTACCTCGCCTGGTATACAGGAGTTCGTGAGTTCGATCCCGACCCTGACGTCTGTGTATTTAGAGTTTGCGTGTTCTCCCCATGGTCGTGTGGATTTTTCTCCAGGTCCTCCGGTTTTTACATCCACATTTAGAAACACGCATTTCGAGTATACATTTCCACGTGAGAAGCTTGCTTCTGAAAAAGAGCTGTATATAGCCTAACCTTGTAAAAACAAATCGATTAATAGGTAAATCGATTCGGTATCTGATTTCAAATCCTGTAGTTGGGAGTTGATTCAACCCATCATCCCTCCAGGGTTGATGCAGTTTAGTCCCAACTTTGTGGGGAAGTCAACAGTGGTTGTCTTATATGGATAGACTGACTCGCCCGCCACAGTAATGTGGAATGGTCCAAGACTGGCTCAGGGCTGTGAAGAGGAGATAAGCACAGATGCCTCAATGCTCATTGAAGCAAGACATCACTTTGACTTTGTAAATAATGTAGCACCACCAGAGCGCAATGACAGTGCGCTTTTAATAATAAAAGATTGTTTTCTTATTAACCACGATAACAACAAAAGTATAAACAAACAGAGCGAACAATCAAGGAGTGAAAAGCCCAAAACAAAACTGTAGCGTTTTTTTTCCTGTAGCCTCAGCCATTCATGGATCTACAATGCCTGCGGGTCACATGTCAACATTTTATAATGACGACAATAGTTTATATGTATACGGTTGACTTTTTTTATAGTGACACAACCACTCTAAAATACAACTTGTAAAGTGAAGGGAACACTACCTGGATTTATGGTTAAACATTTTAATAAAAACCCATACACATAAATGCAAACGTGTTCGGACAAATCTCTTCTGTAAAAACTCAATTTTTTGTAACTTTCTGGGAAAATAAGAAAACTTGTCCGACCGGCTCTGGATTTGTACTTTCGTCCGACCTGCCGTCTGAGATAAGAGGCCCTTGCAGGTTCGGTCCTGCCTGTCTGTCCCAGCCAGCGCTATCGCTACCTCGCCCGATCCCTGACAGCATCCCAAACACCCCATGCACGCGAGCCAGGGGTTGACGGATCACAGAGACGGGAGCCGTCATCCACCCACCCGCAGCGAGCAAGTACAGCAAGTAGGTGGAAATGAGTATGCGTGGAGTTTGAGTGTGCCGTAATTATCGTCGACGTCATTACCATCATAATGAGCTCTGCTCTATCCACTACTGGATGAGAAAGCCTCTCTCTCTCTCTTTCTCTCTACGCCATCGCCATCCCTCACAATCCTGCGAATGAGTTTGATCTCACGGTGCCATCTGTCATCCTATGAAATCATCGACATCGCAGGAGAGTGAAAGATGGCTTGGAGGGAGGCCCTCATCCAGCAGTGGATATATCGTGGTTATGATTGTTCTGCCGTGACAAGAGGCTCTGAGGACAGGTAGTCACAATGCTACTGCGAATAAAAAAAAAACAATTTCAAACACGCGGTTGCAACGCATAGACATGGCGTGCGTGACGCTACTCCGTTATCACGCCCTGCCCGACCTCGACTCGCTTCGCTGCAGGTGAAGGGGCCGAGCGGGTGAGTGGCAGTGCCCAATCAGCGCGCTGCGGGGACGGAGATCTGCGTGGTCCCTGGTCGAGCCCCTGATGGGGTTCACTGCCGTCGATGGTAGCAATACTATAAATAATATCCATAGTGCCGCAACATGGCAATGCATTACAATGAGACACACACTCGGAACCACACCGTTTACGCATAGCCCTTTCCCAATCTATCAACTAGTTTGAATAAGAATCTAAGTGTAATACTAACCATTGAAAAATACATTATAATAATGCACAGCCCATTGTCAAGCTATAGCGTTCTCTGGTGTGACACTGGTGAACGAGGCCCTAAAGAAGGCTTCTGTCTCAATTCAGTTTCAAAGACAATGCATCATATATTATCAGAGCGTGTTTGTCTGCATGTTCACCACAAGTACGTGTGGTTAATGCGAACTGGATTCCTTGCAAAAGGTTTCTATTTTGTGTGTGAACATCTGTGGCTCTTCTTTGGGTGCTTCCCTTCGCATGCATCGTGAGTTTGCTTCTGCTACTTCGATTTCCTTTCGTACAAAGCAAAGTCCCGTCTTACCGGGAGTTTACCAAACTATACACACGTACACATACATGTAAATATAGTCTCGAGACGACGCCTCTATGCATAACAACGTCACGTTACTTTTTTGCACTTACAGCGCTTCGTCACGCCTCTGCTGGATGAAAGCCTGAATGCCGCTCCGGTGACGGGGCCTGGTCAGCCGCTCGTCGCGGTTCGGAATCCAGCGGCGGACCTGGTTAATACTGCCGGGTGTATCAACCAGAAACAAAAAAAGATCTACAAGGGGCGGGGGGGGGGGGGGACACCCAACAAAAGGTGGTGGCAGTCATCCAATCCAAGTACTAACCAAGACTTACAAATCCCTGCTTGGCTTCCGAGACCCCTTAAGATCGAGCACTTTGGAGGCGATCTTGTGATAAGAGATAAGAGCTGCTGATGGGAGGGGGTGGTGGGTGGTTTCGCGTTGTGTTTTTTTTTGGAGCGGTGCACCGTAAGAGAGGCCCCTTCCAACATTGTTCCCCGTCACTCTTGTTGTCAAGTCCGCAAGGCGAGCCGGGACTTATCCCTGCCTCCCCGTCGCTTTCCCTCGGGGTAACCGCACGCCCATCGGCACCCAGGAGCCCCCCCCCACCACGAACACCGCCCTCACCATCCCCGCAACCGCGGCACGCGACCCAAACCTCCTCCAGGCTTTCGTCGGGATGATAA